GATCCGTGAGTAATGAAAAGGGCTGTCCATATAGATACGGCTGCAGTTTCTTTAAGGCCCACACCACAGCCAGGCATTCCTTCTCGATGGCGGCGTAGCAGCTTACTTCTCGGGGTAACAGCTTGCGACTGATGTAAGCCACGGGGTGTTCTCCGCCATCGGCCCCGACTTGGCTCAGTACTGCTCCCAATCCAAACATAGAAGCGTCTGTGTGAACAAGAAAATGTTTACTTGGATTGGGAGCTGCCAAGACAGGGGCATTTATCAGTGCATTTTTCAGATGTTGGAATGTCTGCTCACACTCCGGGGTCCAGGTCACCTGGCGGGGCAGATTCTTCCGGGTAAGGTCAGTGAGGGGCTACCGGCAAGATGGTACCGTGTTCAAAAGTCCAAACCGTGTCTGTGAGTTAAAATGGCCGCCATCCCTTGTTCTCACCATGTGCTTCATCCATTGTTCTCACCATGTGCCTCTGATACATGAAATGGTGGCCACCCAGTAACTCCACAGTATGTCCCCAGAAGGTTCTTAAAGGCCAGCAGCAGCACAACACAAATCCATTATGCCCAAATACTGTATTTAAAGGGCCAAATCTCCCAAGGGCCATAGTCCGCAGGCAGGAGGCGGGCAAACAGGCTTCTCCAATGCCCAGTGGCGAGGTTGGTTTTGCCACATTATAATTTTTTATTTTGGATGTACATGAGAAATATAAGATGGACAAAAGACATTTGTATAGTATTCATGTCATATATAGCTTAGGCATGTCTCGCAATCTGCACATTTTCATATTTTTTCAACATTGAACAATGGTATACAAGGCTAACATGTTAGAAGTTATGTAGACAAAAATGCAAGAGTCTTGTAACAAAGAAAAACATTGTGTCATTATGGATGTCATGTGTGTGGTTCATGGAGTTGAGGTAAGTGACACGTATCAGCTTATGTAGTGGTGTTGGTTCCCAGTTTGGGTTGTGGTCTTTCAGTGTGGTCTGTGCGCGTGAGCCGTTTTGTCCTTTCCAGGTGCTAACTAAGGGGTTAGCAAAGTCTGGAAATGGAGTTTGTTGTTGGTAGTGGAAGCTGGTATGTGTGGTACCCCTAACCAATGGGGTAGTGGGGGGAGGGAGGATGTGACCCCATTGACTCTCTGGTGTTGTGTCCAGTATCTGGGATGTGATTTGCTCGTAGTCAGGATAAGGGTGTTAAACTGCTTTAAATGATAAGTTGTGAAAACATAGATAAAAGTTATAGTAAGTGTAAAGGTAAAAGGTAGTTCTAGTAACTGCATTGTGTCCTGGTGCGAGGTTTCCCTCATGTATCAGTGTCCTCTCTGGGTGGCTCGAGGCCGGAGCCTTCTAAAGTGGGCTAGGTTGTGGAGCCATAGGTGATTGTTTTCAAAATTTAGCACAAGGTGAGGTTTTAATGTTCTAGTTGTAATTCAGTGATATGTGGGTGCTTGTCTTAGTACATTTGCTGCACACTATAATTTACTATAAATCATAGATCTCCTACCTTTGCCTCCCATGTATCTTTGTACAGTGTCCATTCTTTCTGTGTAGGTGGCAGCAGTAGTCTGTAAGCCATGCCGGGAAAGCTGAAAGTGAAGATTGTGGCAGGACGCCACCTGCCAGTGATGGACAGAGCCAGTGACTTGACGGACGCCTTTGTAGAAGTGAGTTTAAATTTTGACTACAAAACCTCTGGCACTTCTTGTGAGCCGAAATAAGCACTAGCCATAGTCTTTAGTCTTATTGGGACCATAAAATTAAGATTATCATTTATATAGCATCCAGGAGGCATCAATTCCTCCAACTATGGTCCAATCCAATGCTTCTCATAAAGGATTATTGGGGACTTGATGTGCATGCGTTGTGAGTGAGGTTTACTTGGTCAGTGCATGTTTACACTGCAAGGTTAGTGACAGGACCATGCACCCAGACTGATACATTGAGATAAAGTGCTCTGGGTGACTTTAGTGGTGTTTTTAAACCAGCTTAGAGATGTAGCAAATATGCAGCCTATAAATATATTAAAATTGTCATTATAACCACTTTAGCTCATTGAAGTGTGCGTGGTGTCTGTGAACTAGCCCTACAGTTTTATGATTCCCTTCTCAAATTGTCAAACTAGGGCTCGTAATTCTGTTGTAAATCCCTGTTAATAACAGCTGGGAATTCCACCCCTGGCACACAAAACACATAGCGGCCTGCTCACAGAAGCACACTATTGAATTGAAGAGCTCACTCCCATGGAGCCGTGCCTGCAGTCTGCCATGACATAAACAGCCTCTTGTATGAGATGGATTGTAAGCTCCCTGACGGACCAGGTTTGTGGGTAAAGCTATGAGCTGTGCTTTTAAAGCCCTATTTTGTTAGTTTGAGAAATGAAAAAAACCCTCTCATGCCAGGTTCAAGTAGATATATAAAAGCACCCAAGTAATAAATATATAATTTATCATTATAAGAAATGCTAGATTTCATGCCGTTGGCAGCTGGGATACACTTACCTTCCCATCATCCTTGTGCCACCATTCTCCATGGGTGTTGCTCAACTGTTATAACCGCCCTCTGATCCTCCTTGCTGCTTCTCTCTCTGCACAGAGATTGCCCCTGCATGGGGGCATTTCATAGCTATAGGCTAGGGCAATAAAACCCGCAGATCAAGAATTTTTTTTTACTTTCTTTGAATTACCTCTAGATGCCAACAAAATGAACTAGTTTTTTTTTTATAGGCTACTCTTTATATAAAGCAAGTTTTTATGTCATATAAATGTGAGTACACCTCAGACTCAGTGCACTAACTGTCCCTGTGCTGTGAGATCACCTGAGACGTAACCCAGCGCACTAACTGACCCCGTGCTGTGAGATCACCTCAGACGTAACGCAGCGCACTTACTAACCCCGTGCTGTGAGATCACCTCACACGTAACGCAGCGCACTAACCCCGTGCTGTGAGATCACCTCACACGTAACGCAGCGCACTAACTGACCCCGTGCTGTGAGATCACCTCAGACGTAACGCAGCGCACTAACTGACCCCGTGCTGTGAGATCACCTCAGACGTAATGCAGCGCACTAACTGACCCCGTGCTGTGAGATCACCTCACACGTAACGCAGCGCACTAACTGACCCCGTGCTGTGAGATCACCTCAGACGTAACGCAGCGCACTAACTGACCCCGTGCTGTGAGATCACCTCAGACGTAATGCAGCGCACTAACTGACCCCGTGTTGTGTTAGTGCAGAGATTCCTCTTATTATCTGACTAGCCAGAGAGTGGTGTTCTATTTTATAACAACATATATTTAGGAAGTAAGAGAATGTTTGTTTGTTTGTTTTTACCACCCCATTATTAAGTGTATAAAGTATATTGCTGGGAATGTCCTGGTGACAAGTATCTGGACATATTGCCAGAGATTTATAGAAGTGTCACACTTTTACACTCTTTCGGTACAGTTTATTAAATCTTATTTTTTGTCTATTGGCTCTTTTGTGTACTAATCAGAATTTTTAAATATGCGCCACATTTTCGGCAATGCAGGATTTAACAATTTTTCTGATACTTGTGTTTTTTTGTTTTTTTTTTTATATAGAAAAACCGTTCTGTTTTTTGTTGTCTGCCAATTTGAAGGGCTACCAATTTTTTTTTTTTTTTTTAATGCAAAAACTGGAATTTACTATGGAGAAAACCATACATTTTTACCTCACTTTTAGATAAATATGAAGAATCTGTCACTTTGTAGAGCGCTTTGCTAAATATCCCCTGTGTGTGTTATGGATGCCTGTGGATTTTGTATATAATCATATGCTTGGACCCATTGTTGGGGCATTGCACATGTATTTCTTTCTTTTATTGTGCTTTTCATTTCCAGGTAAAGTTTGGAAACACCACCTTTAAAACCGACGTTTATCCCAAATCTCTGAACCCGCAGTGGAACTCTGAATGGTTTAAATTTGAGGTACATTTTACCAAGCATTACTCCATCTTGCCCTGGGTTATTTCAATTTACAATCTCTCTTGCTTTTCAGGTGGATGATGAAGATTTACAAGACGAGCCGCTTCAAATCACTGTCCTGGATCATGACACATACAGTGCTAACGATGCTATTGGCAAAGTGTATATTGATATTGATCCATTGCTGTACACAGAGGCTGCCACGGTGATATCTGGTTGGTTCCCCATATATGACACAATCCACGGTAATATTTTGTTTTACTCTGCTGCAAGATCTCCAGCATTACCACAGCAGAGCCTCACTTACCCAAGAAATCGTTTGCTAAGGTTCCTCTCTCCACATGCCCTGCTTTGTAAATGTGCCATTTTTCTATCCATTTTCATTACTTTTGCACTCCTTTTTTCCCCAAACACAAAATGTTTCACCACTAACTAGCCAAATATCTTATTCTGTTAGGCTTTCCTGTTGATTGAGCTTTGTCCTTAATACTTTCCTCAATAGCTGCCAGTGAATTGTATTCCTTGATTGACTTCATTTGTTCCATGATTAGTGACATAGTGAGCATTGTACGCAGTATGCTCAATCTGTGTATTTTGCTGTAGTAAGTAACAGATGGTTTTTGGCCATGAATTTGTACACATTTTAGATCTGAAGGATTGACAACTGCTGCAATGTAATGAAGCTTCTGAAAATGGTGTATTACACGTTTGTTTCTTTACTCAGGGATCCGGGGGGAGATCAATGTGGTTGTGAAAGTAGATCTCTTCAATGACCTGAACCGTTTCAGGCAATCTTCATGTGGAGTGAAGTTTTTCTGCAGTGAGTATTAAACATAAATCAGTGCCATGGTTTAGTTATTTTACTTGTATGGCAGTTCTGTCTTTTTACTACCATTCTAATTTCCAGTGCACTATTTCACCGTAAATTAACCTTTAAATTAAAACCTAACCTTTAATTAATATAGAATTCAAAAGTAAGTTTTTAAATTTAAGGCCAAACTTAAAGCTGCCTATGATTTGTCTATTATTCTGACCGATGGTGGCAGTACGTATGGGTTGTGCTTCCTAATTAAGACAAGCATCTGCAAGATGGGTAATTAAGAAAAGTCCCCCCCCTTTACCCTATAAAGGGCTTCCCCCGGCAAACCCACCTCAGTTCTTTCTTGTCCCAGCATGGGACGGATCAGGCATCTGTTAAAGAGGTGAGGCACACGGGTTGATGTATGGGGAATGTGGCCCGATGGCTGTCCGGGTGGCAGACTGAGCGGCCCGGCTCCTTCCATGCAGGTTACGGAGCTTCATACAGGATCTCTATATGCCGAGTTTGTACGGGCATTGGGAAGAAAAGCATGGCTCGAGGACGCAGGGAGTACATGGAGGGCCTCGCGCCTGCGCACAGCAGTGGAACGCACGCCCGGGTACTGTTGTGTTCCACCAAAGTAACAGGTGCGCTATTGCGCCTGCGTGAACCGGAATCTGAAAAAGACAGTACGGATCGTTGTGCAGTTCCCTCTGGCAGCAGGATGCTTTTCAGGAGTGTTCTTGGTGTCACCAGCCCCCCACACTGCTCAGAGGTTTTCAAGGTAAGATTAGTTAATCTTTACTTTGAAAATCTGTTCTGATATTTAATAAAAAAAATAAAAAATTGAATTGTTTCACAGGAAATGGACTGTATATATGCCTTCGAATGCCTCTGCTATTTTACTTGTTGTGTCTGTGCTACTCCTTCATATGGTGCAGGGGTATATAAATGTAACCAAGGTGCTGCAATTTCTTGGGTAACATTTAAGCAGAGAATATGCAATTGTTCCTATCTTTGGATTCTTATAGAGAATCATATGGTGTATCCCCTACTGTGCCTGAGATGGTCCACAGAGACAGAGAAGTTGGCCTTTGATTACTTCTAATGTGGCTTTTGGCGAATGTTTACCTCTTCTTAAGACATATCTGGTTCATCATATTGTGTGAAGTTAGTTCCCACCTGATGTGCTAAGAAGGTTCATTAGGAATGAATCCGTTATGGGGCAGGATGAATCTGCTAAACTTTAATGAGGGTTATCCTCAAACCCAAAGTCTTTCTTTCTTATATGCAGAAAATTGGAAAACTCTTTCTTGCCTGGCGTTTAATATGTTTACCGTCAAATGAGTAAATGTACACCCCCCAGATACACTGGGAATCCAGAAAATTCTTCATTTCTCTTCCATAACTCCATAAGTGAAGTAGCTGCTTGTGACGGAACGCTGGCACTCCGACTGAGTACCTCCGCCAATCGATGCGCCTAGTGCTCGCTGAGGACTCCAACCGACACCATCAGCACTGCAGACCCCACTTCCAGCGATACAGCTGCGCCGGGGTCTCGCCGTCTCCACCCACCCTGGATCCACGACCACCACGCAGAAATACCCAAATAAACCTTATTGCAGGGTAAAATACAGCTATCAGCACAGGCGCCATATTCAGAAGGCAGGAGGCTAACCAGTAGTCCCCTCCAGGCACAAGTGGCGAAGGGCACTTCGTCACACTGCTTTAAAAACCCTGTCGTCGGGGGCGGAGTTTGGCAACGGAGCATGGCACACAAGCTCCTGCAATTTTATACCCACAATTACCAAATTGGACCAACCAAACTATTATTTTGGGCGATACAGGGCGCGGACAGCAACAGGCAGACAAGATGGGCCAAAAAAATTAAAAAGCTAAGACCGGAAAAACCGAAGCAAGGGCCAAACATAGCTGACCTACTGCGACAAACTCGCGAGGTTGCAGGGCCCAAAATGGCTGACTATCCTGGTTTACTACTCAGCTATCGGACAACATTTTCTCAGAAGGTGATGAGGCCGTCATGCATCCGGCGCAAAGACTGACACAGGCTTCCCAAAAAATGGATGACTCGTCTGTAACGACCGCAGTCCTAAGATCACTCCTGGCGGACCTCCAAAGGACCCTCCAAACAGACGTCGCATCGCTTTGGTCAGACATCCATGGCCTGACGGGCCCTAGAGTCTGTATCCAGCGCCTGCACAAACCAACTTGCCACACTCCAACAAGAGGTCTGAGAGCTCCAGCGACAAAACGGAGCACACGAACGCCGCTTTGCGCACGCAGGGCCAATAACATAAAGATCCTGGGTATCCCGGAGAACATCGCAACAGCGGAGATGCCACACATCCTTAGACGCCTCTTGGTAGCACTGCTGTCCCAAAGACAGGCCAAAAATGCCCACCTGGATGGCTACTTCAGAGCCACTAAACCTGGCTTAAAGGACCACTATAGTGCCAGGAAAACATACTCGTTTTCCTGGCACTATACTGCCCTGAGGGTGCCCCCACCCTCAGGGACCCCCTCCCGCCCGGCTCTGGAAAGGGGAAAAGGGGTAAAACTTACCTTTTTCCAGCGCTGGGCGGGGAGCTCTCCTCCTCCGATCCTCCTCCGTTCCTCCCCGTCGACTGAATGCGCACGCGCGGCAAGAGCTGCGCGCACATTCAGCCGGTCGCATAGGAAAGCTTTATCAATGCTTTCCTATGGACGCTTGCGTGCTCTCACTGTGATTTTCACAGTGAGAATCACGCAAGCGCCTCTAGCGGCTGTCAATGAGACAGCCACTAGAGGCTTTGGGGGAATGTTTAACCTATTTATAAACATAGCAGTTTCCCTGAAACTGCTATGTTTATAAAAGAATGGGTTAACCCTAGCTGGACCAGGCACCCAGACCACTTCATTAAGGCGAAGTGGTCTGGGTGCCTAGAGTGGTCCTTTAAGCACAAAGCTCGGCACCCTGGGATCTAATCCTAAAGTTCCAACACCACGCGGACAAAGCAGCAGTATTAGCGGCGATCATGGACTATTCCCCTTATAAATTTGAATCGATGGAACTGACTTTCTATGCTGATCTTACTGGGGGAACGCTGGCCTGTTTGTCGCAGTAGGTCAGCTATGTCAAGCCCTTCACTACACTCCTGCAACAGAAAGGACTGCGATTATAAATGGCTCCAGACCCGAGTGCTGCAAATAATACAAGGGGACAACAAACACAAAATCCGTGATCTACAGGAAGCGGCATCCCTGCTACTCACCCTGGGACTTCCACGGGATTCCTTGCACCCCGACGAGACCGGAGGGACAAGCGGGCAAACCCACCGCTGGAACCCAGAAGGGGTAGCCCCCTTCGTCCCACGTAAATCTAAGGATGCTCCGACTCTAGCAGGGACCACCTGAGACATACCAAACAATGTGAAGTTACGTTCTGGACTACCCCGGTCTTTTTCTTTTACTTAATCTCGTTAGTTGCTGATGTTAAAGTTTCCTGTAATGATGTTAGCACACATTGCAGGTAATCCACTTCATACATACCCACGAACGAGCGGTAAACAGACCGCAGTTGCTTCTCCCCCCCCGCCCCCGCCTGGAGTTACCCTAGATCGGCACCCACACATATAGATACCATATCCAGGCGTTGATAAATAAAGCACCTTGGCTGATTCTCTTTACACACCGTAGTCGGATGACCGACTAGTAACCTCACCACACAGAGCGAGCACAAGACACACCGAGCTACTACAGAGCTCAAAACCAGCCACACTACATCCCACGAACCCCACGCAAACTAATAACACTAGCGTATCTTCAGTTAGACAGCCCGAAATGTTATGCATGGCTCCTCACGACTGTTAGTAGTTCATACTTATGTTATGTCTATACCACCATAACCAAAAATGTGCAAGCACTCGAAACCACATATGCGTCAATTGCTGTGACTGTATTAGATCTGTTTCTGCTGTTGTGGCTATAAAGATATGATTAACTCATGCACAACAAAAAAAAAAAAAATACAAAAAAGAAACCCTCTCGTCAAGAAGGCCAAAGCATCTTGCAGACGATCTTTGCAGACTGCTGGGTTTCGGTATGGGTCTTTGCTGGCAGGTGCAGCGATGTCCAGAACTTATAACTTTGATTGCAATCATTAGTGAAGGTTATTGAAGTCTCCAGATAAGCAGCTGGTCAGTTTACTGCTACATTTGTGATTGTCACATTCTTTATATGGAAATGACTACTAAAATGTGAAAATGACGGCCAAGATCATGGGTTGATATGCTGTTGCCCTTCTATCCTTGTGACGTAGGCTTGGACGGCAGATCAGCATCCCTTTCGGTCCTCTGTTTACTCCCATTAGGAAAATGGGTATCTTGTTACCAATGTCGAAAACAAGAAAAGCTGTTGGGTTTTTTTTTTGTTTGTTTTTTTTAGGGGTGGGAAACCTGGTTGCAGAACTTGGTCCGACATGGGTAGATGTTTCTGACGCCAAGAAGGTTGGAGGCAGAATCCTACATAGAAACTACTGGCGATCACTGGTTTCTTAATCTAGTAAAAGGAGGGTGTGACGGAACGCTGGCACTCCGACTGAGTACCTCCGCCAATCGATGCTCCTAGTGCTCGCTGAGGACTCCAAGCACTCCAACCGACACCATCAGCACTGCAGACCCCACTTCCAGCGATGCAACTGCGCCGGGGTCTCTGCTGTCTCCTCCCACCCTGGACCCAAGGCCAGGATCCAGCTTCCAGTGGGTGAACCTCTCTTTCCCCAGAGAGCAGGAACAGGAACAAATCAAGCTATTGCAAGAGCTTCCTCTGGGGAGTAAGTGATTTATAGCAATCCCCAGAGTGTAGGTATCCCTTCCCCCAAACATGAGCCAAGGCTTAATGCTGGAACAAGACTGATTTACTGGCACACAGAACTCACAATTTATGCAACACAAAACTCCTCCTCTGGGCCATGCTAGATAATTGAGTTTCTACAATACACAAAACTCAATTATCTGCTGGTCAGAAATAATACAGTTTCATAAAACACACAGGGACCCCAAAACATGCAATAACCCCATAAAATTATATTCTTGGAACCGGGGGATCTGGGTGAACCACATATCCAAAATTCACCCAGATCCGTTCAGTACTTTGGAAAATACAGTTTAATGCAGATTCTGCAGAACATATACAGGCTAAATGAAAAACAATCACTGTATAATGTGTCCCATGCTGTATAGTCCAAAACCACCGCACGATGTCTCTGTGCAACAAATACTGGCGAGATGGCACCGTGTTGAAAAGTCCACACAGTGTCTGTGAGTTAAAATGGCCGCCATCCATTGTTCTCACCATGTGCTTCTGATACAGGAAATGGTGGCCACCCAGTAACTCCACAGTATGTCCCAGATGGTTCTTAAAGGGCCAGCAGCAGCACAACACAAATCCATTATGCCCAAATCATGTCTTTAAAGGGCAATACATCCCAGGGGCCATAGTCACAGGGCAAGAGGGGGGCAAGCAGTCCTCTCCAGGCACAAGTGGCGAAGGGCACTTCGTCACACATCTTCCCTTTGGGGGAAGACTAAACAGGTACCTGACCTTCTGCCGGTCAGTACCTAGATTAGTCGGGCAGCCCACCCACAAAGAAAAATACGCAGAGTAACCCCCCCACAATAAATGGTACTGGCCTGTAGGTTCAAGTTTGTAGTGGGACAGCGCAGCACTCTCGGTCTCCCTGGTGCAGCTAGGCAAACTGCTGGTGCAGCTAGGCAAACTGCTGGTGTTGCTTGGGGGGCAGAGGCCAGTGGCGCTCTGCCCTGCTGCCAGCTCTTCCACTGGGGTAACCCGTGGTAAGTCAGGCTCTGATACAGGGGAAAAGGGGGGGCAGAGGCTAACAGAGCTCTGCCCAGATGCCAGCTCTTCTGCTGGGAGGGGGTCAGTGGGTATCGCAGGCTCGTCCACTGCCCCCAGGACCCGGTTGGGATGTAGCTGGGGAGGGGAAGTTTCACTTACCTCCTCCTCCTGGCATCCCTGCGGAGTTGGTTGGGGATCTGGACCATCCGTCCAGCCTCCCTGTAGGACTGGCACAGAGACCGCGGTCCCATCTGCGCCAGTGTGGTTAGGTTTGTCTTCCCCCTCTCCCGGTATCTCTGGCTGCTGTTGGAGGGGGAGGCTGGTTGCCCCCACTCCCCAGGACGCTGGTTGCTGTAAGGTGGAGGGATTGACCATCACCTCCTCCTGGAACTCAGGCCGGCGCTGGGGAGAGAGACCAGTTGTCTCCTCTCCCTGTATATTATACTGCCGCTGGGGACCTAGGCTGACTGCCCAGCATCCCTGTAGGGCCGGCAGAGAGACTTCGGTCCCATCTCCGCTTGCCATCTCTGTGTGTCCCCAGGACAAGTCTATGAGGTCGCCCACCTCCAGCTGCTGTTGGAGAGGGTGGCCGGTTGCCTCCCCTCCCCAGGACGCTGGTTGCTGTACGGGGGAGGGATCTACCATCACCTCCTCCTGGAACTCAGGCCGCCGCTGGGGAGAGAGACCGGTTGTCTCTTCCCTCTGTGCGGTGCACTGCCGCTGGGAAGGGAGGTCGCTGCTCTCCTCTCCCTGTAACTCACTCTGTCGCTGGAGACGGGGTGTCAATACCCCCAAACTCCACAGTTGGTACTTGAAGTTCCGTGCGTCTTGGTTCTCAGCACTCAACATGCGCATCACTTGATGGACCACCTCATCTGAAGGGTTTGGGCCAAACCAGACCAGCCGCGCCTTTACTTCCTTCATGAAATCAGCACCCTCATAGCACTGTGACAGGCGGAGTTGCAATTCACTGGCTGCTGTCCAGGGTCTTGCTAGCTCCATGTTGCTGTAGGTAGGGACGCTGCGCAGAGGCTAGCGTTGCCCTCAATTATAAATCCGTAACTCCACACGTTACCGGTGTCTCCGAGCTGCTGGTCCTCGCACTAGGACGCCATCCCGCCGCTGCCACCAAATGTGACGGAACGCCGGCACTCCGACTGAGTACCTCCGCCAATCGATGCTCCTAGTGCTCGCTGAGGACTCCAAGCACTCCAACCGACACCATCAGCACTGCAGACCCCACTTCCAGCGATGCAGCTGCGCCGGGGTCTCGCTGTCTCCACCCACCCTGGACTCAAGGCCAGGATCCAGCTTTCAGTGGGTGAACCTCTCTTTCCCCGGAGAGCAGGAACAAGCTCTTAGAAGAACTTAGTGATCATACCCTGGGGAGTATAGTGATTATAGCAATCCCCAGAGTGTATTTCTCCAATCCCCCAAACATGAACCAAGGCTTAATGCTGGAACAAGACTGATTTACTGGCACACAGAACTCACAATTTATGCAACACAAAACTCCTCCTCTGGGCCAGGCTAGATAATTGAGTTTCTACAATACACAAAGCTCAATTATCTGCTGGCCAGAAATAATACAGTTTCATAAAACACACAGGGACCCCAAAACATGCAATAACCCCATAAAAAGTATATCCTTGGAACCGGGGGATCTGGGTGAACCACATATCCAAAATTCACCCAGATCCGTTCAGTACTTTGGGAAATACAGTTTAATGCAGATTCTGCAGAACATATACAGGCTAAATAAAAAACAATCACTGTATAATGTGTCCCCTGCTGTATAGTCCAAAACCACTGCACGATGTCTCTGTGCACCAAATACTGGCGAGATGGCACCGTGTTGAAAAGTCCAAACAGTGTCTGTGAGTTAAAATGGCAGCCATCCATTGTTCTCACCATGTGCTTCTGATACAGGAAATGGTGGCCACCCAGTAACTCCACAGTATGTCCCCAGATGGTTCTTAAAGGCCAGCAGCAGCACAACACAAATCCATTATGCCCAAATCATGTCTTTAAAGGGCAATACATCCCAGGGGCCATAGTCACAGGGCAAGAGGCGGGCAAGCAGTCCTCTCCAGGCACAAGTGGCGAAGGGCACTTCGTCACAGAGGGCACCGCTTGCTCTTTACGAGTCTGCTCAATCCATAATTCCTTGTTTCATTTATAATCTTCTGAACATCTGGTGGTACTCCATTTACAGAAACAGTGTTCCTGTTGGATAAAAGGAGTTTGGGATTTGGTTCTAGTGAACCACGATTTTCATGGGGTTCCTCAGGAATCTCCTGGATATCAAAGCCGAATAATTCCTTTAGACCTGGATGAATTTAGATTTGGTTCCTCTGAGGTTCAGAATAGAGACTGATGCTTCTGTAACTCTGATTCTGGAAAAAGGAAATTTCCTGGTGAAAATAGATACAGAGATGTATACCCACTTATCCCTATTGCAGTCCCTCGAAGTTTTTGAAAGTTCGCCATAATTGGATTTAAGAAACTTCATTACAGTTCAAAATACTCCCCTTTGGGCGGTCTTCAGCCCATGTATAGTTAATAGGTTCTTGCTCCCATAACAGCATATTTGAGGGTACGGGGCATTCCCTACTTGAAAGTTAGCCGCTTATTGCCAATCAAGTCGGTTGCTCTTGAGTTATGTTCTGATAGCTAGCAGAGTGCTACAGTAACATGTTTGGATACGGAGACCATCACGTTTTCTGGGGTTCGGGTTAACCCTAAAACATTTCCTCTGCATCTACTGCATTCAAAAAGGAAAGGTCCAATTACTAATAAAGCAAAAATTGCTCCATAAGAACAGGAAATTAGATTGCTGGGATGTCTGACAGACATCTACAATTCCTGCGATCCACTGGGCAAAAATCTAGATATGGCCACTACAGGGCCTCTGGGTCAAAAGGGTCAAATCTTCGATTTATGTCTCCTAGACTCTCTTCAGAAAAAAAGCGGAAGATCGGTTAAACTGGTGGACAACGTCAAGGTTTTTCCGACAGGTCTGTCCTTTTAGCCTATAGAAGGGGTAGTTTTCACCACAGAATGCATCTAACAGGCTGGGGCGCTCATCTAAATTCTCTAATGTGCCAGCGTTCTTGTTCCTAAGAAAAACAGTCCACTAATTTCAGAGATCTTAAGGAAGTTCTTCACTCCCCTCGCCGATTCAGATCTTGGTTAATTGTATAACCTATTAGAATGCGGTCAGACCACAACACTGTTTCTCTCACGTCAGCAGACAGGGTGGTGCAGACGGCAGTCTGTTTCAGCTATGTACCAAAACGGTGTACTGGGCTCAGGATCTTTCGGAGGTCCTCTTTCCATTCCACTCATGTGTCGACAATGTCATCACCTACAACCACAGCAAAATAAATTGGGATCAAGAGTATTGGTCTATAGATCTGATGATGTTCACCATTCCAAAGGGAGATTTGGAGTGTTCGGATAGACCTTATGGCAAGGATGGAGAACATGAAGATTCACAGGTTTGCCTCCCTATACAGGACAGTCACGTTGAATAGTTGGTCTATCGATCAAGGGAGATTTCTCCAGGCTTACTTTTTTTTTTTTTTCCTCCTATTGACTGTTCCCAAGACTTCTTCAAAGGAGATGAACGGACAGAGCAGTGGTTCTGCCAATTTTTCCGTACTGGCCAAACACGACCTAGTTTTGACCTTGGAGAGGGCTACCAAGTTTTGGGATCTCCCGATCTAAGACAGGATGTCCTGCTGGAAGTGTTTGAATAGGTTCCTATTGACGGTAGGGCAACTGCATGGTGGATCCTTAATCTTCTGAGTCTTCATAAGTCAGAGTCCACTTGTGGTGTATGATCTTCTTGTCGTTCCGCCTCCAACTTTTTTACGTAAGTATTCGGGTAGAGTGTCTAAATTGTTGTAAGGAACGTCATTGTCTTCTAGTTCATTTGTCCGGTTGGTTCAATTTTACACTTCCTGTAGGAGATTTCCACAGACCAAATTGTTTTCTCTAAGTCCTTTCTGAGAAGGGATTGGTCTTTGTATTTACTGGTTAGAAGTTTCTTTAAAGCAAAAGGCTTCTTAGACCACCCAGGACGTTCTGTTTCCATACTGGGATCTTTCTTCAGTCTTTCAGGTCCCCTTGAACTTTGGAAGTGGTTCTTTTAAGATGCTAAAGCTTAACCAGCATTCTTAGTGGCCATTACCTTTGCCAAGAGAGTAAGCGAGTTACAGGATATATCTTCTTCAGTAGAATTTCTTATATTCCATCAGGGGGAAAGTTGTGTTTCTGTCAGGATTACAGTTGATCCAGCACGCAGAATTGTATCACACCTAGGACTAAGGATAACGTCTAACTGGACTTTTAGAATGGCCAGACTTAACGTACCAGAGAAGAGTCAATATACTAGATGTGGCGGAACCAACCTCACCACAGGCCAATGGAGGAGCCTGGTCGCCCGCCTCCTGCCGCTGGATTATGGCCTCATGTTTAACACTGTTCTTTTTCCCTGCAGAAAGGCTGGTTCGTGCCTTTCTGCGGACTGTTAAAGTCACGAACACCGCTGAACCGCCAACCTCCCTTCTCCTACCTGCTGTCAATTATCAGAACAACGGTCCATTCGGTACTTTACTGTTTAAACCATGCTACCCCAGATAGCTATGCCATGGAGCACAGTCGTATACTGAAAGACTGTATGAAAGACTTTGGCTACATGGCGATTGAACTGTATGTATATGATCTGAGCGCCATCTGGTAATAATGATCTAAGCTATCTGGGGATAGGTAGTGTATGTTCTATGTGATAAATGTAACAGTATGTAATTTTATGTCTTTTATTGTCCTATGTCTGCCATGTGGTTAATGGAGTTTTGCCTCTGTCCTTGGAGATAATTGTATTACTTCTCAATTACCTCCAGGACAGAGAGGAGGGATTGTGATGCATTGTGGGATTGTAAGCTTGTGATTGGTCAATAAATAGAGCTTTTACATTTATGGGAAACTGTCACTTTCCATCTGGTCCCCTAGGGGAGTGTCCACCAGGTGGGAGACCTGCATAAAAGCCGGGCAGGTAGCCCCAGTAAATCAGGTTCTGCTTGACCCTCAAGCGAAGTGTTGTCTCGTTCTTGGGGGAATTGTATTGTATGCTGTTATAGTGCGACTGCCAGGAGTGTAAACTGTTCGTCTGTTTACAGCATTCGTGTGTTTCCTGTTCGGGAGTTTGGAGTATTCCCCTGGTTCCAGTTTGGGAGATTGGCGAATTCATGTGTTTGCATTTCGGGAGATTGGTGATTGCAGTAGCTGTCTGTGCATCTGAAAAGGGGAATATCGCCTAAACATTTTTAACCTCTTGTGTGCAAAACGGTCCGTTACACTAGACTAGGTCAGAGACACAGAACGAAACACCGCGATAAAGAAAAGCCAATGGTCAAGGATAGCAGAAGTCAGGGAAGTCAAAACTACGCCAAAGTCAAAAACCAGAAACACACGATCAGGAACACACTCTCGGATAACCATCGAAGGGAAACCACGACAGGGCACTGACAAAAAGGTAATTTGGGTTTAAATAACCCTCCTTAGCCTGTAACTGGCTGCCTCTGACCCCAAAAGGTGCGTGCTCGTCTATGACGTGACGCCGCACGCGCGTTGGCGCCAACTTTCATGTGGCGAAGGAAGTTTCTTATAAAAGTCCGGTCTGCAGCGGCCAGTGTTCATAAGAACGTTGCACCCACTGGGGACCGGAATGTAGTGAGACCGGGTAGCTGCCTACCGAGCCCCAGGTAAGTTGAAAACCTCTGACGACGTGGCTGTTATGTTTGAGTGCAGCTGTGCCGGCAGAGATGTCGTAAGCCGTGACTGTTTTTTTTTCATCCTAAGCATTCAATTCTTCCAAAGTTATCTCTTAGAGCCGTTAATCAGCTCATCTTTCTAACATCCTTCTATAACAATGCCACCTCCCCACTGGAACAAGATGGCATATTCTAGAGTTAAAAAAAAAAAAAGGGGCTTTTCAGGTCTACCTATCAATATCAGATCACCCGTTGTCAACTTCTAGAAAAGTTTTAAAGGGAATGAAGTCTCTCGGAATTATTATTATTTAGCCTATCATAATGGCTTATGCTTCAGTAGTTTTGATACGCCAGCTTCCCTCACAGCACATTTCACAAAAGCAATGGCCACTTCATGGGCAGAGAAAAGCTCTTGCTTCACCTGAAGAAATCGTCATGGCTGCTTCTTGGTCAGGCATCTCAGGCTAAATATGCTCTTTGCCTCTAAAATTGCATAAGGGCTGTTTTTAGGCATAAGTCTCACCCAATTGGGGATCTTGCTATATCCCATACGTACTGCCACCATATGTAAGAAAAATTTTTTTTTTCATAATATGGTGGCAGTACAAATCTCCCTCCCTCTAAACTACAATTGCAGTGTGTGGCTTAGGTGTGTATTCTTGCCACGACTGAGGTGGGTTTGCTGGGGGGGAGCCCTTTATAGGGTGAAGGGGAGGGACTTTTCTTAATTACCCATCTTGCAGCTGCTTGTCCCAATTAGGAAGCACAACCCATACGTACTGCCACCATATTAAGAAAAAAAGAATTTATGGTGAGTGAAAATTTTGTTTATGATCTTAAATTTGAAATTTCACTTTGAATTCTCACTTTAGTAAATATTCTGTCAGAGTGATTAACCTGTTTATGTGGTGTTATATTGTGGCAATTCTTTCAATTTACATAAAATGAAAGTCTGATTGGAGCGTTGAGAATATTTGTAGAATCTGTGTATATTCCTGTTCTGTCAGAAATTACAGTGCTGGTTCCAAGTTAGACCTGGGAATTGTTCTGTGAATAGTTGTCCATCAAACTTGTAATTTTTTGTTTTACTTGTTTGGCAACGTATCAGTTCCTGTGGAAATCTCCTAATATGTGTATTTATTCTGTTTGTCCCCAGCTACGTCTATCCCAAAGTCGTATCGTGCTGTGGTCATCCATGGCTTTGTGGAAGAGCTAGTAGTGAACGAGGATCCAGAGTACCAGTGGATCGACCGAATTCGGACGCCAAGAGCCTCGAATGAAGCTCGGCAGCGTCTAATCTCATTAATGTCTGGTGAGAAACGTATTGATATTATGCTTTTTCCAAGAATGTACTGTTCCAGGCAGAATATAGATAAAATATTATTGCACCTTGCATCCTTAGTGGCTGTTGTTGTTTATTCACTTAGTCAGGTGGAATTGCAATTGTTTGTATATAAATAGAGCTTTTACATTTATGGGAAACTGTCACTTTCTATTACCAAGCATTTCAGATGACTCACAACACATAATCCAGACTTTGACTCATCTTTATAGATCAAAACCTTCTTGTTGGAATTTCAAAGGTCAATAAATACGTCTAACATAGAACCTTTTGGCAATATTCTTGCAGTGATACGGAAATTTTGTATGTGAGCTGACGTGGAAGCTCGTCATCATATTAATTCTTTAGTAACCAAACACAAATATTCTACCTAGCAACAGTGATGTTAAAGGAACACTATAGTGTTAATACAAAGCTGTATTCCTAACACTGTAGGGTCCCTCTCCCCTGGCAGCAAATAAAGAGTTAATAACTCTTTTAAACACTTATCTGAGATAGTACTGGGTCGGGCTACTCCGATCCGATGTCTGCCGATGAGGTAAATCTAATGCACGATTAGCACTGCACATGCATTGAGAAATCCACATTAAAAAGCATTGACTCAATGCTTTCCTATGGGGTTTTTCAACACACTGGATGTCCTCATGCAAAGCATAAGAATGTCCAGCGTTTTAAAACTCCAAGAAACTGCAGAAAATGCCTCTAGTGGCTGTCTGCTAGAGGCAGTCTTAATACTGCAATGTAAATATTGCAATTTCTTTAATACTGTGCAGGATTAAAGGGACACTGCACCCAGGCCACTTCAATGAGATGAATTGGTCTGGATGTCTATTGTGTCCCTTTAAGTGGTGCAAAGCATTGCTTTATTTCATTCGTTATTTAAGCTTGAATAGCAAATTATATTGACAGTGGATAACCATACAAATGTCAGTAAGCTGCATCAGGCATAAATAAGCTGCAGCAAAGTACATCAAAATATAATGAAAATAAGACCTTACAAAGTTCAGCATTCGTTAAAGATCCGTATTATAATATCCGTTACGCCTGGACATGTCTTAGGATGGTACTAATCATTGGTTTAGAGAAACCTTAATGTATCAACACTTAAAAGGACACTATAGTTTCCAGAACCAATACAGGTTAATGTGATGGTTCTGGTGACTATAGTGTGTCCCTGCAGTCTTCAGACAGAAAGCATTTTTACATTGCTGCCTAGCAACACCTCTAGTGACAGTCACTCAGATGGCCACTAGAGGTTTTTCTTGGGTCAGTGCTCCCCACAGAGATGCATGATTCAATGCATATCTATGAGGAGGTGCTGATTGGCACAGCATAGCATTTCGCTGCGCGTGCACAATAGCCTTCGAATGCTTTCCTCTGGGAAAGCATTGGATTGGCTTAAATCATAAAGAGTGATGATCTCAGCCATGAAAGCATGGCCATCTCCTGTGAGACCAGTACAGCCATGGAGAAAAGGTGAGTTAAACAACATTTCGAACTCCACAGAGCGGGTCCCTGGACCTAAACCGCTAGTTTAACGCTTGTCAGGATCTTACCCGATGTGGAATCCGATGTGCAGAGTTATATCCATTGTACAGTGCTATGGAATCTGATTGCGCTGTATGAAATAATAATAATAATATGCTCACCCTTGCAAATAAACACAGACCAAGGTGACCAGGTAAGAAGCCTCCTGGGCTGTGAGTCTGTGCATGGGGGCTGTGCAGGAATATAGCTCCAAGTTGCAGTACAGGCAGAAGAGTAGTCATGGAAAGCCAAAGTCAGGAGAAGCCAGAATAAACGATGGGATAAGCCAAGGTCAGGAGCCGTCTGGAGAACACTGGATCAAGATACACAAATACTGGAACCAGAGTCAATGAACTGACACTGCCCTTAGAGAGAGGCAGTGTTTTATACCTGGCTAATTAGCGATATGCTTCAGGTGGACCGATAGACAGGAGCAGCCACAGGAAGTGTCCAGTCCCCAGTGCTGGAGACAAGGCAAGGAAAAACATCAGGCTGAAACAAGAACTGAAGTGTGGCTCTGAGGCAAAACAGCAGGATCCAGGTTCATATCCCTTGTTGGGCACTTCTGGGGCCATCACATCTGGATGTCACGGTGCTATAGTGTTAATAATACATGTTTCTATTACTAACACTATAGTGTTCCTTTAAATACAATCTTAACACTGTAACCTAAATAAAAACAGGAAAACTCAACTACACAAATATATACGGCAAATCTCACTGTGTGATCTGAAAATACAGCAGTTTATGCATCCATTGCAAATGTGAGACTCTGCCCAGTATTCATCAAGAATGCTCAGAGTGAGAGTGTGCCCCATCTCTCTTTAATATTCTTCTCATTGAACCAATAGAAACACCAACAAAGGTATTCTTCACTAAACTGTGAATTGTCAGGCTTCCTAAACGCATATCTTAACTTATGCCAAACAGTTGAATAGGAAATAGTCAGTCAGCTATGGGTGCATCTTGGCTATTTGTATTGAATGTGAAATTCACCTTGAGTTCTGGAGAACTCACATGTAAGTAATATCCCTATCTGAAGTTTGTTTAAAGAGAATATATAAAGAGCTCAGCTCATAAAGAGTTAAACCTTTTTAACACTTCCCAAATTTCGGTTCTCCACCCATTCCAATGTCATGTGGGATGATGGGCTCTCAGAGCGTGAGGATGCCCAGCATCATTAGGCAACCAAAAGTCTGTTCTGACTCAGGAAGTGCCTCTAGTGGCTGTTTGACAGCCATTAGTGGCAGTCTTAATCCTGCAAGGTAATTATTATTCTCACAGTAGGCGTATTTTGTGTACATAGGCGCTTAGGACAGTATATAAATACAAGCTCGTGCTGCTGCCACCAATGTGCAAGTTTCTCACTCCTTAACACAAACAAAAATAGAAAAACATGTCTTCCACTGTGTGAATATACTTTCTCAATTATTATTACTCTCAAACTGCAATGATTAAGTGGGGCAGGGACACTACACCCAGACCACTTTAATGAGTTGAAGTGGTCTAGGTGACTATAGAGTCCTTTTAAACTCTGGCCATTCAGTCTATGATTCCTCTAGCTGTTTGTGTAAAGCATACTGGCCTCATTTAGTAGGGTAACTTGGTACGATTCCTCTAGGTGTTTGTGTAAAGCATACTGGCCTCATTTAGTAGGGTAACTTGGTACGATTCCTCTAGGTGTTTGTGTAAAGCATACTGGCCTCATTTAGTAGGGTAACTTGGTATGATTCCTCTAGCTGTTTGTGTAAAGCATACTGGCCTCATTTAGTAGGGTAACTTGGTACGATTCCTCTAGGTGTTTGTGTAAAGCATACTGGCCTCATTTGGTAGGGTAACTTGGTACGATTCCTCTAGCTGTTTGTGTAAAGCATACTGGCCTCATTTAGTAGGGTAACTTGGTACGATTCCTCTAGCTGTTTGTGTAAAGCATACTGGCCTCATTTAGTAGGGTAACTTGGTACGATTCCTCTAGCTGTTTGTGTAAAGCATACTGGCCTCATTTAGTAGGGTAACTTGGTACGATTCCTCTAGCTGTTTGTGTAAAGCATACTGGCCTCATTTAGTAGGGTAACTTGGTACGATTCCTCTAGCTGTTTGTGTAAAGCATACTGGCCTCATTTGGTAGGGTAACTTGGTACGATTCCTCTAGGAGTTTGTGTAAAGCATACTGGCCTCATTTAGTAGGGTAACTTGGTACGATTCCTCTAGGTGTTTGTGTAAAGCATACTGGCCTCATTTAGTAGGGTAACTTGGTACGATTCCTCTAGCTGTTTGTGTAAAGCATACTGGCCTCATTTGGTAGGGTAACTTGGTACGATTCCTCTAGGTGTTTGTGTAAAGCATACTGGCCTCATTTAGTAGGGTAACTTGGTACGATTCCTCTAGGTGTTTGTGTAAAGCATACTGGCCTCATTTAGTAGGGTAACTTGGTACGATTCCTCTAGGTGTTTGTGTAAAGCATACTGGCCTCATTTGGTAGGGTAACTTGGTACGATTCCTCTAGCTGTTTGTGTAAAGCATACTGGCCTCATTTGGTAGGGTAACTTGGTACGATTCCTCTAGCTGTTTGTGTAAAGCATACTGGCCTCATTTAGTAGGGTAACTTGGTATGATTCCTCTAGCTGTTTGTGTAAAGCATACTGGCCTCATTTAGTAGGGTAACTTGGTACGATTCCTCTAGCTGTTTGTGTAAAGCATACTGGCCTCATTTAGTAGGGTAACTTGGTACGATTCCTCTAGGAGTTTGTGTAAAGCATACTGGCCTCATTTAGTAGGGTAACTTGGTACGATTCCTCTAGGTGTTTGTGTAAAGCATACTGGCATCATTTAGTAGGGTAACTTGGTACGATTCCTCTAGCTGTTTGTGTAAAGCATACTGGCCTCATTTAGTAGGGTAACTTGGTATGATTCCTCTAGGTGTTTGTGTAAAGCATACTGGCCTCATTTAGTAGGGTAACTTGGTACGATTCCTCTAGCTGTTTGTGTAAAGCATACTGGCCTCATTTAGTAGGGTAACTTGGTATGATTCCTCTAGCTGTTTGTGTAAAGCATACTGGCCTCATTTGGTAGGGTAACTTGGTACGATTCCTCTAGGAGTTTGTGTAAAGCATACTGGCCTCATTTAGTAGGGTAACTTGGTACGATTCCTCTAGCTGTTTGTGTAAAGCATACTGGCCTCATTTAGTAGGGTAACTTGGTACGATTCCTCTAGCTGTTTGTGTAAAGCATACTGGCCTCATTTGGTAGGGTAACTTGGTACGATTCCTCTAGGAGTTTGTGTAAAGCATACTGGCCTCATTTAGTAGGGTAACTTGGTACGATTCCTCTAGGTGTTTGTGTAAAGCATACTGGCATCATTTAGTAGGGTAACTTGGTACGATTCCTCTAGCTGTTTGTGTAAAGCATACTGGCCTCATTTAGTAGGGTAACTTGGTATGATTCCTCTAGGTGTTTGTGTAAAGCATACTGGCCTCATTTAGTAGGGTAACTTGGTACGATTCCTCTAGCTGTTTGTGTAAAGCATACTGGCCTCATTTAGTAGGGTAGCTTGGTACGATTCCTCTAGCTGTTTGTGTAAAGCATACTGGCCTCATTTAGTAGGGTAACTTGGTATGTACTTTGAGTTCTGTCTGAATTTTATTCTGGAATAAATACCAGTTAATGAAGTTCCAGGTGCACCAGGGGTACACAGGCAAAAGGCTCTGTCAACAGCAAGAGTTAAAAGATTAGGAGTCCAGCTCTCCCAATCTCAATAAGGTGATTCTTTATTAATGGTGTCAAATGACTCATTTCTTTAACTCCATTAATAAAGGATTACCTTATGGAGATCGGGAATGCTGGATCCACCCGATTTGTTTTCTGGCACCACAGAGGCCTTTTATTTACATGATGCTTTCACATGATAGAATCTGAAATGGGATTTTCCTGGTCAAATATAACTTGAATTTCCATGTGAATAAATCTTCTTCAGGGGTAATCAATATCCAGAATATCGCTGTCAATAAACTGCTAGTAAAATAAAACCTGTAATTCCATCATCATTTTTACCACTGCAGTGAACCTGTTTACAATTTGTCCATTTCCTCTCCACCAGGTGAGCTCCAGAGGAAAATTGGTGTGAAGGTCCTGGAGATGCGGGGGAATGCTGTGGTGGGATACTTGCAGTGCTTCGATCTGGAAGGAGAGTCTGGCTTGGTGGTCCGAGCTATAGGAACTGCTTGTACTTTGGATAAAATAAGTAATCCAGCCTCGTTTGCCCCAGCGTGTAATTCTCCCTGCAAAGAAATGAAAGAGTAAGTGATTTGAAGCACACTTGTTCTGTGACTCTGGTTGCCTAGACACTCTTTAGTAACTCTGGAAATCTTCTGCCTAGTGTAATTTTCTGATCCTTTTTTTAGCCTCAATCCAGGCAGTGCATATTTTAGCCTTTTCCCCCTGAAAACTAGAACGATCTAGGTGTGCAAGCTGTTGTTGGCCAGTAAGGTAATAAATATTTACTGTTAAAGATATCTCTAGTGATTTGTTCGCTTTGACATCCACTCAATAATAATAATAATAATAGCAAGGTGTTTGACACAAACCGTGCTGCGTGATACAGATCTAACTTGAAAGATGATGCAGACATGGAGCCATGGCTTTGAGGAATTTCCACTAGCGAGCTGCGATTATACCTGACATCCTGGACCTGCTTTACTTTTGTTATTGAGTCTTCTGTAGGTTTTTGTTTTAAAAGTTTGAGAATCAGTTTTGTTTTATTTCAACATTTTTGTGTAATATTTTCAGAACCCGATGTTTGATCCTATTTGTTAGTTTTAAACGACAATCTCCAGTACTCCTAAAAAATAGCTTATCTGTGATAATCTGAAATATCTTAAGGACTTGTCAACTAAACACAGTTTTCAGAGTTAAAAGTTTAGGCTGAATTAGTTATTAATAATCTAGGATTCTCCACAAATCGCTGGTAAACTATTACACTAGAATGCACATCCATATCCTGGAAGGAATGAAATGTAATTTTAACGGAAAAACTGTAATGATGATAAATCACCAAATGTTAACAAACTATAAAAGTTATATCTGCAAAGAAAACCAAATAAACTCTCAGCCATCGCTATGTCAGAACATACAGGGATCACGGTCAGTGTGTACGTGTATATCTCCATCAGGGTTATTCACTAACGTGAGATTTCAAGGTGAGCTCAAAATAGCCAAATGGGAAAAATTCTTTAAGTCAGCTATGCTTCTATTTAAAAAAAATATATATAAATAATTCACTTTGAGGTCTTACTTTAGTAAATCTCTAGTTTTTCTCTCTCTCTCTCTCGTTCTCTCGTTCTCTCTCCCCTCTCCCCCCACCACCCCCCACCTTTTGTAAATTGAATCTCTCTTGCTTGTGAAAGTCAGATTTCTGAGATAGAGTTGGGCTTTGCTTGAGGTATGTACAGGCAGTTAAACCTACAGCTGCTCCACCTCTCTATGATGCATGTGTTATTTAGTAGTGGAGTAGTAACACTGCTTGCAGGCCATATATATAGAATATATTTTAATCTTCAGATATGTGTATCTTTTATCCTATACATTTCACTGTCAGTTTTGCAAGGCAGTGTCTAGAATAAAGGATTACTTATCTGATATTGATATCGTTTCTTGGTTTGGAAGTGCCAGGGACAAATTCTATAAATGTAATTTAAACCACTATCCTTCTAGGTAACCGTAACATTCCAGTAACTTTGTAACAGCCCTCACTTCAGTTTATATCTGGTTTCTTAAATTCCTGTGCCAGCCATATTGTTTTAAATCTAGTGCACAGCTTACAGTGAATGCCAGAACTAACATGTGATGAGTGCCTGCATTGTCTTTGACCTCTTCTCTTCTTGCATGCTTCTAGGATTACAAACCAAATCCCACCCTAATCATTTTAACACTTAGAACTGGTGCCAGCTACCCGTGTACTGTTTTCTTTTCTTCCACCTTTGCTGCCAATTCTCTCAGGTCTCCGCTGATTCAGCCGCCAAGCCACGGGTACCGTTCGACTCACAACAGCCCAATTCACATGGCTACTGGCTCACGGCTCAGTCAGAACTTCTCTGTGTCAGTTCCCACTCTCATCTACACTGGTACGAGACCGCTCACACTCAGGAGCCACAGGCAGACTTGTCGCAAAGGGCAGGCAGGCAGGGAATGTAGGCAGGTACCCTCTATCTGTACTCCCTTTTATTGGGGAGTTCTCTTATTGCTGCTGAAACACTTCTTTTATTGACTCCGCACTCAGTCCAGTATCACTTGCTACCGACCAGTGCTTTCCCTAACTGCTGGTATATACTCTTGGTTTAAACTTGGCAAAAAAGCTGCTTTAAACCTGGAGACAGAAGGGATGAGGCTGTGCCGGGCCAAATTTAGCCACCCCTTTCACATAAATTCTCAGAATTTTCATAAGGATTACCAGTCCCTTAACCACATGTTTTTAGAGCGGAGAACAGGTTATAATAATAATAATGCCTAAAATGCAATCTTGTATTTGGTAACAATGTCCCTTTGATTTCCATATAAATATCAAAATCAGTATAGACTGCGTAGCAGCACGCCCAGTGCCGATCATGCAGTGATATTACAAGGGCAGAATGAGTGGCTTTTGTCAGTAGAAGAAGCTGTTTTGAGTAACCGGTAAGTGACTCCTGTTGCTTGGCGTGATGCCCGCTCTGTAGCTGTGGCACATGAGTGATGCTGCAGGATAAGGAAACATACTTCTGTTTGGCAGAAAGATTAACGCCTTTTTTATTTATTTTTATTTTATTTTTTCTTGGCCGCATACATCGTAAAGATGTTCTAATTTTCTTACTTTTTATTTTAAAGTTTCTGCTTACTTTATGTTTCCCTTTGCATTTGCTTTATTTGGTTATTTGGTTGTTTGGACTTGTCATGCGAGAGTTGGCCTGAGGTCAAGACAGTGCCCTGTGGAATGCTGCAAGGTTGACCTAAGCCCTTCCGGAGAAAGCACTGAAGCCCACTCACTCCCACCCACCCCAGTTCTGGACCCTTACCATTATCAGCCTCAACATTTATCAAAGGATTGCTTAATCTGTCTCCACCTTCTTCTGGCAGGGTTCCCTTCAGTGAGGAGCTTAATACCAATACTTACTCATCAGGACCCTCCACCCCTCTGAAAAACCAAACCTGTTCCTTTTCACCTTCAAAGTCTTACAGCCGACAGTCGTCCTCTTCTGATACAGATTTAAGTTTGACACCTAAAACTGGTAAGGTGCATCCACCACTTTGTTTTAATTTGTTTCTTATTTTCCCTTGTTTTGTCCTTTTTATTTATTTTCTTCTCTTCGTGTAGCCATCTTTTTATCCTTAACGTTATCAAAATTACCTTAAGAACTCTTTGTTACAGTGTGGGCTCCCTCATGTTTTGTAGTAGGAGTGAAAATAATTGGGCACTTCCTTTGACATTTCTAAAGATATGTTATGTTAGCCTCCTTATCCCATAGTCATAGCCTGCAGCTGGGGATTCTGGGTAACAACACCCTCCTTATCACATAGCCATAGCCTGCAGCTGGCTGTTCTAGGTAACCACCCGCCTCATCCCATAGCCTGAAGCTGAGGGCTCTAGGTAACCACCCGCCTCATCCCATAGCCTGAAGCTGGGGGCTCTAGGTAACCACCAGCCTCATCCCATAGCCTGAAGCTGGGGGGCTCTGGGTAACCACCCGCCTCATCCCATAGCCTGAAGCTGGGGGCTCTAGGTAACCACCCGCCTCATCCCATAGCCTGAAGCTGAGGGCTCTAGGTAACCACCCGCCTCATCCCATAGCCTGAAGCTGGGGGGCTCTAGGTAACCACCCGCCTCATCCCATAGCCTGAAGCTGGGGGGCTCTGGGTAACCACCCGCCTCATCCCATAGCCTGAAGCTGGGGGGCTCTAGGTAACCACCCGCCTCATCCCATAGCCTGCAGCTGGGGGGTTCTGGGTAACCACCCGCCTTATCCCATAGCCTGCAGCTGGGGGGGCTCTGGGTAACCACCCGCCTCGTCCCATAGCCTGAAGCTGGGGGCTCTAGGTAACCACCCGCCTCATCCCATAGCCTGAAGCTGAGGGCTCTAGGTAACCACCCGCCTCATCCCATAGCCTGAAGCTGGGGGGCTCTAGGTAACCACCCGCCTCATTCCATAGCCTGAAGCTGGGGGGCTCTGGGTAACCACCCGCCTCATCCCATAGCCTGAAGCTGGGGGGCTCTAGGTAACCACCCGCCTCATCCCATAGCCTGCAGCTGGGGGGTTCTGGGTAACCACCCGCCTTATCCCATAGCCTGCAGCTGGGGGGGCTCTGGGTAACCACCCGCCTCGTCCCATAGCCTGAAGCTGGGGGGCTCTGGGTAACCACCCGCCTCGTCCCATAGCCTTAAGCTGGGGGGCTCTGGGTAACCACCCGCCTCGTCCCATAGCCTGCAGCTGGGGGGGCTCTGGGTAACCACCCGCCTCGTCCCATAGCCTGCAGCTGGGGGGGCTCTGGGTAACCTCCCGCCTCGTCCCATAGCCTGCAGCTGGGGGGTTCTGGGTAACCACCCTCCTTATCCCATAGCCTGCAGCTGGGGGGTTCTGGGTAACCACCCTCCTTATCCCATAGCCTGCAGCTGGGGATTCTGGGTAACCACCCTCCTTATCCCATAGCCTGCAGCTGGGGGGTTCTGGGTAACCACCCGCCTCATCCCATAGCCTGCAGCTGGGGGGTTCTGGGTAACCACCCTCCTTATCCCATAGCCTGCAGCTGGGGATTCTGGGTAACCACCCTCCTTATCCCATAGCCTGCAGCTAGGGATTCTGGGTAACCACCCTCCTTATTACATAGTCTGCAGCTGGGGGTTCTGGGTAACCACCCTCCTTATCCCATAGCCTGCAGCTGGGGGTTCTGGGTAATCACCCTCCTTATCACATAGCCTGCAGGTGCATTCTCTATTTCCCAGATCAGCTATTTTGGGTTAAATGTTTCAATTACCTAGTATGCTTCCACAATCCATATTTTAGTGAACACCACCCATTGTCCTACCCCCTTCTGGAGAAAACCTTGATCTTTAGACGTCCTCTCCAGCCAAGGAAAATATATGATGAATTTTACAAAGTTCAGTCTGTGTGAGCCTCGTAGAACAGATGCAGAATTAACCGTTCTGGGGATTTCTATTCATTAGCAAGCAATCGTCACTCCTCTGTCAGTCGAGGAGTTAGAAGGTCAACGAAGGGGACAGGGTAACCGATTCAACGTGTAACAGCCCCAGTTCTGCAGAAGAGATTTAATGAGCAATAAGAGCCAAAGGGAGTTCCATACATTTGTTGATTGAGGGGATTTCTTTCCTAAACTGCAAACTATTGCAAATTTTAAACCGAATTGTCAAATTTGTTGTGTTTTTCAGATGAGCTATTTTTGCCTCGGTGTTTCAGTCTGGATTTCCGTTTACTAGTTTGGTGTTTAAGAAAGAAACCCCTTTGTGTATAGTGTTCTGTGTTCTCAATAGAGGAGGGTTTTGATAACTTTCCATCTCTTTTTGCCGTTGTGGTGCTGTTTTTTTGTGTCAACCCCTGATGCAAGCAGTTTTTATATAACCCGATAAATGCTATTTCGTTTTTTTCTTGTTTTCTTTTTACTTATGATGTTTTTATTCCGATGTTCATTTTTCTTTCTTCTGTTTCTGTTCTTTCCTCATCTCTTGTAACTTCCATCTTCCAACTGCTCCTGTTCACTACCAGCCGTGGCGCTGCGAGGGCCTAGGATTTTTGTTTGCCCCAGTTCCCCTGCCCTCCTCTATCAGTCCCCATGTTTCAATCAGTCCTGTAGCCTCCTGCCTGCAGCGGGCAGCACAACCCCTCTGCTCCCCAGTCATACCCTGAGGAAGTCCGTCTCATTCAGTAACGAGCTGCTGTTGGCTGGTAGGGCTCAGCTTTCTGCACACAGAGCTGTCACCAGCATGCTATTGTGTCTAGAAATAACCAAATAACGTAAAAATCTCACAAACTTAACTATTTTTGCAATCTAGTTTGCAGTGGCTTAGACTGTTTTTCTAATACTGGTTAGAATAGGAATTTTACAATGGTAATGTAGCATTTGATTTACGCTTCATCATCAGATGGCAAATCTCAAGATGCAGCCATGTTTAAATCATCAGCACCTGAGTTTGCTCTTTAATTATCCCATGCTGTCACGTAGCGTAGGTGCTGCACCTTCATGGAGGGCCTTGTCTTGGTACCACAAAATACTACATACCTAAACTGTCTCCATAACAGGTCTTTGTAACGGTTAATGCTCTGCCATGTACAGACCCACAGAGCTTATTTGGATTTAATATATCTTGTGTTCATGTTAAACAATGCTTAGGGATATTGCATGAAGTAGTTAGTGTAGTAATAAAAGTACACTGGCTAGGGGTTTATTGGTATTTTGTACACTGGCTAGGGGTTTATTGGTATTTTGTACACTGGCTAGGGGTTTATTGGATTCTGTACATTGGCTAGGGGTTTATTGGCATTCTGTACACTGGCTAGGGGTTTATTGGTATTCTGTACATTGGCTAGGGGTTTATAGGCATTCTGTACATTGGCTAGGGGTTTATAGGCATTCTGTACATTGGCTAGGGGTTTATAGTCATTCTGTGCATTGGCTAGGCATTATGTGCATTGGCTAGGGGTTTATAGGCATTCTGTACACTGGTTAGGGGTTTATAGTCATTCTGTGCATTGGCTAGGCATTATGTGCATTGGCTAGGGGTTTATAGGCATTCTATACACTGGTTAGGGGTTTATAGGCATTCTGTGCATTGGCTAGGGGTTTATTGGTATTCTGTACATTGGCTAGGGGTTTATAGGCATTATGTGCATTGGCTAGGCATTATGTGCATTGGCTAGAGGGTTAAAAGCATTCTGTGTATTGGCTAGGGGTTTATAGGCATTCTGTGTATTGGCTAGGCATTATGTGCATTGGCTAGGGGGTTATAGGCATTCTGTGCATTGGCTAGGGGGTTATAGGCATTATGTGCATTGGCTAGGGGGTTATAGGCATTATGTGCATTGGCTAGAGGGTTATAGGCATTCTGTGCATTGGCTAGGGGGTTATAGGCATTCTGTGTATTGGCTAGGCATTATGTGCATTGGCTAGGGGGTTATAGGCATTATGTGCATTGGCTAGGGGGTTATAGGCATTATGTGCATTGGCTAGGGGGTTATAGGCATTCTGTGCATTGGCTAGGGGGTTATAGGCATTCTGTGTATTGGCTAGGCATTATGTGCATTGGCTAGGGGGTTATAGGCATTATGTGCATTGGCTAGGGGGTTATAGGCATTATGTGCATTGGCTAGAGGGTTATAGGCATTCTGTGCATTGGCTAGGGGGTTATAGGCATTCTGTGCATTGGCTAGGGGTTTATAGGCATTCTGTGTATTGGCTAGGCATTATGTGCATTGGCTAGGGGGTTATAGGCATTCTATACACTGGTTAGGGGTTTATAGGCATTCTGTGCATTGGCTAGGGGTTTATTGGTATTCTGTACATTGGCTAGGGGTTTATAGGCATTATGTGTATTGGCTAGGCATTATGTGCATTGGCTAGAGGGTTAAAAGCATTCTGTGCATTGGCTAGTGGGTTAAAGGCATTCTGTGTATTGGCTAGGGGTTTATAGGCATTCTGTGTATTGGCTAGGCATTATGTGCATTGGCTAGGGGGTTATAGGCATTCTGTGTATTGGCTAGGGGTTTATAGGCATTCTGTGTATTGGCTAGGCATTATGTGCATTGGCTAGGGGGTTATAGGCATTCTGTGTATTGGCTAGGGGTTTATAGGCATTCTGTGTATTGGCTAGGCATTATGTGCATTGGCTAGGGGGTTATAGGCATTCTGTGTATTGGCTAGGGGTTTATAGGCATTCTGTGTATTGGCTAGGCATTATGTGCATTGGCTAGGGGGTTATAGGCATTCTGTGTATTGGCTAGGGGTTTATAGGCATTCTGTGTATTGGCTAGGCATTATGTGCATTGGCTAGGGGGTTATAGGCATTCTGTGCATTGGCTAGGGGTTTATAGGCATTCTGTGCATTGGCTAGGCATTATGTGCATTGGCTAGGGGGTTATAGGCATTCTGTGCATTGGCTAGGGGTTTGGATCTCCATTTAGAGATATTTCACACATTATCTAGGGGCTTATAGGTCAGTACATGCCAGGCTACATGTATTATATTGCTGGCAGTCTGGGTTCTGTTATGGGTTTATTCTTTATTTTTGTAGTGCAGAGTGAAATCCAATCTCATTAACCATTTTGTTTTCTCATTTTGTGTGTCTGCCTCATTAGTACTGTGTAGTCCTGTTGGTCAAAGTGTTTGCATCAGACTTTTACTAAACACGTTGAAATCGGACTATAGAGACACTAAGCTCATGATGTTTCCTTATCCAATCACCACTGATGTGCTTAGTAATAAGTCCAGGTAGTTTTAGGAAAAGCTAGTGGGGGTCCTTACCTGATGCACTATTGTAGACCAGTTGCTTGCTATCCGCGTGGGCATATTATTTTATTATTTGTATAGCGCCAGCAAATTCCATAGCGTGGGCATATGAAAATACTGTCACAGAATAAAACACAGGTCCTAAAGTAACTCGCCCCCACTATCACCATTTATCCACTCTATTCCTCTGTCTGCTCCTAGATACCCTTCCTTCATCCTGGCATGTTAATGATCGGATGGCCTGTATGTAGAAATCCATGCAGTCCAATTAATAGATCGTTAAGCATTACTTAAAGTGCTGGACCCACTTAAACTGCAGAACTCTCCAGACGAGAGCACAGGCTTATTCACTAACGTGAGAAATCAAAATTAAATTCTAATTTTAGGCCAAAGTAGCTAATCTGGAAGTGTAGCTGACTTGGATAATGTTTCCATTTTGGCTATTTTGGTCTCAATTAGAAATGCAGGCTTTTCTGCGTGTGACTAAATGGAGCCTGCATTGTCTTATTAAAAGCAGTTAAACATGCATGCAGTGATGGGAAGCAAGCCCCATAGACTGTGCTGTGATCTACTTTAACGCACCATCACTCTTTCTCTGGAGCACTGTGGTCTTTGCATGATCCCTGAAATTATGTCTTTTCATGTTAAATGGCCATTCATAAATGTTGAACCAGTGCTAAGTGTGTAGAATCCGTTATTGAGAGTGGGTGCATGTACTAAGTGTGTTTCTGTAATGATTCTCTACAGGAATGGGAAGTGGCAGCGCTGGAAGAGATGGAGGTGCATTTAAAGCCCTCCTCAGGCAGCAGACACAGACTGCGTTGGAGCAGAGGGTAAGCGTCTACTAGACATCTTCTCAGTCTCCAGCCTCTTTGATATCTGCTTATTTCATGAATCTGCAACTTTCTGTAAAAACTAAAATTTCCTGATACTGTTATTAAAGGGACACTCCAGTGCTGTGCTTCTATTGCACTTAGTGCTGCAATGTAAAACATGTTCCAAAGAACTGCAATGTTTACATTGCAGCTCCAAGTCTGCCCTCTGTGGCTGTCTAATAGACAGCCACTAGAGGGCTTCCAGAATCCAAACCGACCTTTGGTCGGTTATCTGATGCTGGACGTCCTCACTGACCTCCAGCGTCAGATTTTCCCCATAGGAATGCATTGAATAATGCTTTCCTATGGGGAGGTCTAATGCGCATTAGGTCTCCCCCACCAGCTGATGAGGGACATTGGCGCTGGATTCAGGTAAGTAGCTGAAGGGCAAGCGACAAGGGGTGGGCTGCGGGAGGGAGGGGGGCACTTCAGGATCCTGCAGTGCCAGGAGTCCCTTTTAAATTAGAAAGCACTGCCCTCTTGTACTTTTACCAATTGTTAGGTCTCTGGAAGAAATCAACATAAGATTTAATATTTGATCGGACAGAGGTGCCAATTAACCCTTGCCGCTGTCGCTTCCCATTGTTTTCCAATTGTTAGGGCTTTTTTTTTTTTTTTTTTGATGCTGTACAACCTGTGCTGTTAGACATTACTGGTGACGTGACGGCACCATTCCCTTTACATTGGCATGGGGTACCGTTGAAAAAGTCAGGATTTATTCCCAATTCTGTGAACAGTTAGCTGTGTGAGTGCTGCTTATCGTGTCTTTCTATTGTTTAAGTTATGATGGTTATCATTGTGTTCTTTTTTGATGATTAATTTGCCACTTGCAATATCTTTCCAGGAGTTCCCCTTTTTCACACTAACTGCATTTCCGCCAGGATTCCTTGTACATGTTGGTGGTGTTGTTAGCGCTCGCTCTGTGAAACTCCTGGATCGCATTCACAATCCCGGTGTGTATGTCTGTTTTATTAGTTTTTGCAAACCGTTTCTTTTTAGTAAAAAGGAAATTGGTGTGAGACGGTAAACGTTCCATTTTGCTGTGATTTATTCTGTAGCTAATGCCAGCCATGCTCCTGTTTTTATTGCAGAGTATGTTAACGTTCTCTGTGTTTAAGGAGTATTCTGTGTAAGGTATCACTTGAAGGTTTCTAGCTTTAGGAATACTGTATAAGGGGTTGGGAGTGTTGACTGTAAGGGTCTCTGAAAGTATTCTATATTTACAGGGTCCTCTGAGCACAGTATTTAAGAATCCTCTGAGTAGTTTGTACTTATGAAAGAATCATTAAACTTTAAAAGTACTTTATATAGGGCTCTCTGAGGGTCGACACTGCTCTATGTAGGGATCTTTGGTGATGGATGGAGTTGTATATAGAGGTCTCTGAGGGTTGAGAGTGCTGTGTGTATGGGTCTCTGAGGGTTGAGAGTGCTGTGTGTATGGGTCTCTGAGGGTTGAGAGTGCTGTGTGTATGGGTCTCTGAGGGTTGAGAGTGCTGTGTGTATGGGTCTATGAGGGTTGAGAGTGCTGTGTGTATGGGTCTCTGAGGGTTGAGAGTGCTGTGTGTATGGGTCTCTGAGAGTTGAGAATGCTGTGTGTATGGGTCTCTGAGAGTTGAGAGTGCTGTGTGTATGGGTCTCTGAGGGTTGAGAGTGCTGTGTGTATGGGTCTCTGAGGGTTGAGAGTGCTGTGTGTATGGGTCTATGAGGGTTGAGAGTGCTGTGTGTATGGGTCTCTGAGGGTTGAGAGTGCTGTATATTAGAGGTCTGAGGGTTGAGGGGTGTGTGTATATATAGGGGTCTCTGAGGGCTGAGGTGTGTGTGTGTGTGTGTGTGTGTGTGTATATGTATGTGTATGTATATATATGTATGTGTATGTATATATATATGTGTGTGTCTCTGAGAGTTGAGAGTGCTGTATATTAGAGGTCTCTGAGGTTTGAGTTGTGTGTGTGTGTGTGTATAAGGGTCTCTGAGGGCTGAGAGTGTGTGTGTGTCTGTCTCTCTGAGGGTTGAGAGTGCTGTATATTAGAGGTCTGAGGGTTGTGTGTGTGTGTATAGGGGTCTCCGAGGGTTGAGAGTGCTGTATATTCGAGGTCTCTGAGGGTTGAGTGGTGTGTGTGTGTGTGTGTGTGTGTGTGTGTGTGTATATATATATATATGTGTGTGTGTGTCTCTGAGGGTTGAGAGTGCTGTATATTAGAGGTTTCTGAGGTTTGAGTTGTGTGTGTGTGTGTGTGTATAAGGGTCTCTGAGGGCTGAGAGAGTGTGTGTGTCTGTCTCTCTGAGGGTTGAGAGTGCTGTATATTAGAGGTCTGAGGGTTGTGTGTGTGTGTGTATATGGGTCTCTGAGGGCTGAGTGCTGTATATTCGCGGTCTCTGAGGGTTGAGTGGTGTGTGTGTATATATGTGTATATGTGTGTGTGTGTATATGTGTGTGTGTGTGTATTCCCTTTTCCTGCCTTTCTGTTTATTTTGACTCAGAAGTTTTACTTGTTTGGCTTTCAGCACAAACAGTTTGAATGACGAGGTTACACAATGCGCGGTGTAAAGCAATCTCTGTATTCGTGGTGCCAGTGGCCTGTAAAATCTGTGTAATGCAATAACTTTCAATATACATTTTGCCAGTAACGTGGCTGTGCAATGCACAGATTGAATCTTATTCCTTGCGAGGTTGGACCGGTGTCTTTTCAACCAGATGCTGCTCGAACATAATTCTTGTTGATTCTAACGCTTCAGAAAAGCTCTTTGATGGACATTTTATAATATACTTTCACAAAGATTTAAGAAAAATGGGGGCAAACTGAGGGTCCCAGTGTTTCCATCACTGCATGCTCTTGGCAAATCAGCAGGATGGCATAATGACGCAATGTGTTCGTCAACAAAAAGTGTCAAAGAGCTTTTCTTTACCCTGTAGGTCATGAACAGATGCCCTTTGAATCTTAATAAGAGGTGAATAAATTAAATTCTGACACAGTGGTAAAATAATTTATTTAATAGCACGGATTTGACTTTAAATGTTTCATTTGCAAAATAATACTTTTGGCCATGACTCTTGCAAGTTTTTCTAAATCCTTCAATTCCAAACTTTTATTAACTGTGCTGTCTGTGTCTTTCTAGTTCTCTGTGTAAACTGTGCTCGTCTTTGTACTTCTGACGTTTCTGCTTCTGTAACTGACCTACTAATTTGCTGTTTTAAACTCAGCCTTTGTCGGGATAATGGGTAACACAAGATCTTACAAACTGCTAGACTGGAATAGTTACAATTCAGGTATTTTAATAGTCTTTACATAAAATACATTTATGACGGTAAAAATAATGGCAGCTCAGTGAAGAACTTAGTGTGGAAGGTTTGCGCTGTGAATCCCAGTGCAGCCACTGGAACCAAACCATAATGTTTGCCTATATCCCTAAAAATTAAATTTTTACATTCAACATATTCAGGTAACATCTGCATAATTCGGGCACCGCCGATTCTTAATGAACCTTTAAGACTTACACCATCATGCCCTTTAAATGCATAGCCCATTCCTGTTAGTATATGTAACTGGTATAACGTGGGACTGTGTGGATAGTGTAGAATGTAGATGCTCTGCTTGCACCATATTGTCTGATAATGTTTCCTAATGCCAATATAGTAAACCACTCTAGTCTGCCTGGACGTCTTCTTCACCGCATCAGCACGATCATGCCACGGGACTGGTTGCCCACACACTGCCACTCGTGTTTGGGTGTGAGTGGATAGTGGCGACTGGACAAACATGGCGTAAGGGAGCCCAGGTTTCAGTTAATTAGTTGCTCCAGCGAATCATTGTTTTTTTGTTTTGTTTTTTAACCCACTCAACAGCTTGAAATCAAATGAACTCTCCAAATACAAAAAAAAACAGTTTAATTTGCTCAGTTGCTTTATGCGTGATGTGTCCTTTTTGTTTTAGTTTTTTTTTTCATTTCACAAAAAGTACAGATTTCAATAGAAATTTTCACTTTTATAACTTCTCCCTCGGCTGTCAGACAACTGGTCCTGATGCTTCCTGGTTTGCAAAGACTTCTCATGTAGCTGCATTGGGAAGTGTAAAAACATGAGCGTAAGACACCACCTAGGAGGTTTGTCAATCCATGGCTTCCATACTCTATTACTCTACCGCCACCTGCTGTGTTGTAATAGGAGAGGCCATACCTTACTTTTCTCTCGCCCCACACCGGTTGCAATGCTATGTGCTCTTTGGAAAACCTTTTGTTTTTTACACAACGTTGCATGGAATGAGGTACATCTTGTGAGTTATTCCTTAGCAGACACTGACTTGCTCTGAAGTAACATTTGCACATTCAGCAGTGATATCTTGAGATTTGAGAGAACCCCTAAACTACCTGTGGAATTTGTGGGGGTTCATTATTTAGAAAGATCAATTTTTTTGATCAGCTAGTGTTCGATGCCTACAGGAAACTGTGGCAGTGTGGAAGGTGTCTTGACTGTGAGAAAGTGTTGTTTCTTTAAATTTGTCTTAAAGATTTAGCAAATATCATCACAATCGAGTTAAACTCCGGTCCTGATACAGCTTACATTGAATTGCAATAGGAGAAACTGACTTATCAAAGTCTGTATTTTAAAAAGTGGTCTAAAGTAAAGTGGAGCAATCACCATGGAAACTAGCAGGCAAATTCCATTGACTTCTAAATTTTTGCACCTCTTTTTAGAAACAAAATTCAAGGTGGATTTAAAGTGAATTTCAAATTTAAAGGAACACTGTAGCACTAGGAATACAAAATGCGTATTCTTAACACTATAGTGCCCTGGTAGCCATTTATGTCCCAAGCACCCACCTGTAGGTAGGAAAAAAGGTATTTTTACTTATCTTTTCTCCCTCAGAGCCGCTCTCCACATTGACGTCTCGCCTCCTTAACTGAGATCAAGATTCGTGGTCTGGTTTTTTTTTATTTTATTTTTTATAGGAAAGCATTGGGGAGGCTAGTGCTCCAATTTGATGTCTCTATAATCGCCTCTAGAGACATTTAAATCCTGCAATGAAAGAATTGGCCTTACTACACAATGTCAGGGTTAAAACGAGCTGGGTGGGTGGACATAGCACCCAGGCAACTTCCCATGGAGATAATGTGCTATGGGTGCCTATAAAGTTCCTTAAAGGTCTAAATTGCCAAACTGGAAAATTATGACATTTCAAAAAAGTCAGTTATGCTTTCAATTCAGCTACTCTGACTTTAAATTTGAAATGCACTTTGGATTTTTTTTTAATGTGAATAACTTTTAGAAACATCATGAATTTATCGCTCTCCAAATTTTCTTATTGATTGACAGGTGTAAAAGGTGGAGCTTATAACATTGATGGGGAGCCAACATAGAGGCATCCATTTCTAGGACATATTTAAATACAGTGATGTGCATTTCTACCTTTCATTTTATTTCTTCTCAATATTTGTTCAATATAAAAGCATGGGATGTGCCAGTTCCTTTAACATCCTATTACCTCTGGTGGGCCATTGTCTGCCGGTGGCACACATTGATTATTACGTGCCGACAGCAGCAAGCTCTGGGGAGGAATTTGGTTATATAATACATGTGACTAATCTTGAAACCTCAGCAAAATATTGTTTAGATGTGGCCAGCTGCTGTAAATCTTTTAATGCCCCCTATTCTGCAACATTTCCGTTTCTGTCACACAAAACTTTCACTGCTTGTAAAGAGCCAGTGTCTGTGTGTTTAAATTGTCCCATTCAATCTTTTTACTGAGAATAGTACTTCATGTCAGACGAGGAACAATTTACTTCTATCCTAGAGCTCTTTTCTACGGACAGTGGGATTATCAAGCACTCAGGACTAATTCTGCCCATTATACGCTGTGAATTAGCACGAGTACAGCCGGACGCATTCCCTCAATCTGTTAGAGAGGTTGTGCCCACATTTAAAGTCTGAAAACACAGTGTCTCATTTAAAGTTGTTCAAAATTCACTACTAATGAGGTATGGCTAGAAGGAAGTGTGTAATATCTGCCTTACCCACACTTCTCGTGGGTGCGGAGCTATGGAAGCCAGGAACACTCATTCAGTGTTAAACTGCTCAAAAATGGTTTAACTCTAAATCAAGGGTCAGTGCCAGGGGATTTCAGGCACTATAACCACTTTAATGAGATGAAATGTTCATAGTGTCTAAAGTGTCCCTTTTGAGGTCTATTTGTGGGAAACTGTGATTGTGAATTAAGGTAATGCCCATTTTAACCCAATGACCTCTCTATGGGGATTACATTTCTATCTGAATCCTACATGCAGATAGTGCATTAAAGGACACTATAGGCATCAACAAAAACTTTAGCATACTGAAGCAGTATTGGTGTATAGACCATGCCCCTGCAATCTCGCTGCTCAATTTCTGCCATTTAGGCATTAAAGTACTTTGTTTCTGTTTATGCAGCCCTAGCCACACCTCCCCTGGCTGTGACTGACACAGTCTGCATGAAAAAAAGGTTTAATTTTCAACCTAATGATAACTTACTTTAGACGTTTTTTTTCCCATTATCTCTAAATTTCACTTAATCACACACAGTAGTCTCAAAGACTATTAACAGAGCAGAAGATAAGACATTCTAACTTAAACAGAATTTACTATAAATGAAGTGTAAACAATAAATTATCCCTTACAGGAAGTTTTTAGGAAGGCTGTGCAAGTCACATGCAGGGAGGTTTTGCCTAGGGTTTGCATAAACAAAGTGATTTAACTCCTAAATGGCAGAGAATTGAGCAATGAGACTGCAGGGGCACGATCTATACACCACAATGCTTCATTAACCTAAAGCTGTTTTGGTGACTATAGTGTGTCCCTTTTAACTGTTTTTCTCACCTGTCTGGGATTTGTATAAGATTGTACTTTTAACTTTATCCTTGCTATAGGATAACTGCAGGGGGTTTATTTTCCATTTCCCAATTACCATTGATTCTTCCAATTAAATACAATCCGTTTTTATGCCTTACCCATCTCATAGAGTTAGTGTCACACAGGGTTATTCTATGAAGTAAGAAATGTCAGGAATGAAACGTGAATTTAACATTTTAAATAAAATCTCTGAATTGGAAATCTTATCGAAGTCTGTTGTGTTTTCAGTTTGGCTATGAATTCCTGTCGAGGCACGCTTAAATAATATGGCTGTATTGTTTTGTAGGAGGAGGTAACTTATGACGTGTAAAAGCTAGAACATATTCTAACAATGCTAAAAGGAACAGCATAATGTAAGAAATAATATATGCGTTGGAGTTCCTTACTGTCTTTAGATAAGATGGGCCTCTTGGCTTTTGTCATTTTTAAGGGAGGATGTTTGTTTCCATGCTTTAAAGTGGTTTTGGTGCTTGGTATCTTTTTTTTTTTAACTGTATAAATAAAGTTAGATTTTTAATTAAAATTAAACTTGCATACAAATCTGGTTGTAAAATGCATGAAGGGGATACACAGAGAATTGCTCGGTTCCATTTAAATACCCTGTGATATTTCAACCAATAAATCAGTCTTCTGCAAAACAAAGCATTCTAGAAATCATTTTAAATCTGAAATAACACTTAACAGAAAGGCAAACGTTGTGATATTTAATGCTCCCCAACCTGTGGCTGAAACCAAGACCTGTTTTATCATGGCCTCATTGGGGCTGTCTGCCCGTGTTTTGATGTAGGGTACACGTAGGGCCATTTCTTTCTGTCTGCATTTCACTGAGCTGCCATCGTTTTCTGTGTGTTAAATCACAAACCCCTAGCATGCATCGATCTACCCATTTCTGGCTCTCGTCTGCTAATTTCCATGAAACCCTTAGCACACAGACTAGCGTATTCTCTGCACCTTGCTGGACACGCTTTACCCTTTATTTTTTTACTTGAATTACTTTGCCTTAATGTGCAGTGTACACATGCTTTATTGAATCCTCTGTGGCGTTTTGTGGCCCCCTGTGAGACCTGAAATAAGAAGCTGCTTGTCTGTAAATTGCAGACGGAGAACCTGCATTTAGTGCTTTTCATGCAGTCCTCCCTCACTCTTATAGCCGTGTTTTCTTTATACTCAGCTTATGTTGGCATGAAAGGTAAGTTCTCCGAGCTTCTCTTGTGTTTGATTATTTTACCCCCCAGCACAGCTATGAAAGTTCTGCAGTTTTATCTCACACTGCCTTATTTCTGTCTGATTAATCTGATCCAACATTTTGGCTTTCCACTATCCCTCCACTAAATATTAACCTTGTTCCAAGTTCTTATGGAACAGGTGTCAAACACTCTCCTTGTCGTGCATGCATTGTGGCAAACAGTATTATTTTGTAATGTTAGTGTCTGCTAGAAGCCGCTGTGAAGCGGTTGGAATGGTTTAAAAATTCTGAAGCCAAAAATGAATTCTGGTAATAGGGCATTAAGATAAGCGTTTTTGATAAACCTGTAAGAGAATGCAGATCAGTCCTTGCCATCGGGTGTTTATCCCGATACGGATAGAATGGGCAGGTCTCTTGCCTATATGGCTGACCGGGAATAGATCTTATTTGGCTGTGTTTATGATTTGGTTCTTATATGCTGATTTAACAGGAAAATCTGAGCCTGTTTAGTTACAGGTTGCAATTACTTGCCTCAAGTGACCTGCACCGACTGTTGTCTGGTAAAAAAGCGCAATGATATTTTTTTTATAGTGACATTATTCTTATATATCACAATACTGTGACTGCCCCCAATAACAAAACAACTGAAACAAATACACCCAATGGATCCTTAATAGCAGGCAGTCTTTTAAGACCACGTTTCAGCACTGTTGACTTGACAAAGGCACAGGATAGTGCCGAAACGTTGTCTTTTACTCTGAATGCCAAATAAAAGACTACCTGTTTTTAAGAAACTATTGGGTATTTTTGTTCCAGTTGGATTGATTAGGACTTGGCCTTCCTGGCTTGGAGCACCCCGGTGGGAGTATTCCCCTAATGGTGTGTGCATTGCCCTCTTACACTCTGCCACAGTAACAAAACTCTGTTTGCATTTGTTAGCAGTCTCTTTCTATGTCTATATAATGCAGGATTCACTGTTTATTGCTGTTCTAACAATAGGCGGCTTTCTGCAGTGCCTGTACCAAACCAAAAAAGCAGAACATTTGCATGTGGGCAGAGAGGGCAGGGTTAATCTATACAATCATTGCCTGCTGCCTCTTTAATCTATTTGGGTAAAGTGTAATCCCTTACCTCATGACATACACAGTATACAAACACACAATATGCTGGCTCAGACACTGTGTGTGTGTGTGTGTGTGTATGTATGTATGTGTGTATATGTGTGTGTGTGTGTATATGTGTGTGTGTGTGTATATATATATACAGGCTAAGACACTTTATATACACACACACTATGTTGGCTCAGACACTGTATATACACACTATGCTGGCTCAGACACTGTGTGTCTGTGTGTGTGTGTATATGTATATAGAGAGAGAGAGAATAAAGGGAGCACACTAGGACTACTTCTGAGTGGAAAAAATAGTATTTACTGTATTATAAAATAATACATGTCCTGTGCAGAGTACAGAAAATCGACGTTTCGACCGACCCCAGGAGGGTCAAAACGTCGATTTTCTGTACTCTGCACAGGACATGTATTATTTTATAATACAGTAAATACTATTTTTTCCACTCAGAAGTAGTCCTAGTGTGCTCCCTTTATTCTCTATTCTATATTTTACGCGGGATTGCACCTAGGCAATTTTTGAATTTGCTTAAGTAAGCTCTAGGAGGAGTGCCTTGCTTATCTATTTTTCTGTGTGTGTGTATATATATATACACACACACACACACACACACACACACACACTATGCTGGCTAAGACACTGTATATACACTCTATGCTGGCTCAGACACATATATATATATACACACACACACTATGCTGACTAAGACACTGTACACACACACACTATGCTGACTAAGACACTGTATATACACACTATGCTGTGTGTGTGTGTGTGTGTGTGTGTGTGTGTGTGTGTGTATATATATATACACACACACACACACTCTGCTGGCTAAGACACTGTATACACACACTATGCTGGCTAAGACACTGTATATACACACCCACACACACACTATACTGGCTAAGACACTGTATACACACACACTATGCTGGCTAAGACACTGTATGCATACACACACACACTATGCTGGCTAAGACACTGTATGCACACACACACACACACTATGCTGGCTAAGACACTGTATGCACACACACACACACACACACACTACGCTGGCTAAGACACTGTATAAACACACTATGCTGGCTAAGACACTGTATACACACACTACACTGACTTAATTGTTGCTGTTGTAAAACCTCTATAGATACCTGTAATCAGTCGCTACACCCAAAGGGTTAATATTTGACATCTCCTTCATTAAGGGTGTTGGGTCCAGTGGCCCAGTTATTTTCCAGCCACCTCTGACAAATTCCATGGGAACTCGCTAGAATACTCCGTATGCGGTCAGGAAAAAGGAGATCTGCATCCTACAGTAGTACATTAATTCTCTTCTTAAACAGGGATTTTATGTGAAATCACACGTAACACTAAATGGAAATCCGGAGATGTCTTTGTCATTTCAATTAAATTTTTTTTTCAGATGAACCAGAAACTCGTGATGCGTGGTGGGCAGAGATACGCCAGGAGATTAAATCTCATGCGAGAGCCCTGGGCTGCCATGCTGTGGTGGGTTACAGCGAGTCCACTAGTATCTGGTAAGCCAATCTCTTTTTTTCCCCTGTTCTTTACTACAGTGTAAAACTGTAATGGTAATCTGTTGTACAAACAGAGAGATCCCGAGGGGTATTCCTGTCCCCAGATCCATTTTATCATGGGATGCACGAAAACAATACAATGATATTACTTGATAATCGCATCGAACAGCGCTGCTATGTATGTTGGTTCTGTAAATAAAGTGACTTGCTGATCTGTTTAATGGTGCTAAATGAACGATTTTTACTATGCACTGGATTGTCAGTGAATTGCATAGATTTGCCCTTCGTATCCAAGCTGGTTAAATAGTGGAGTTGGAGAATATTTCCATGTGGGTTATTTTGGAGTAAAATCTGCATTTCCCTTGCCTTTTCTCCCCAGTTCCTGGTTTTGCAAAGAATTTGCTGTGTGCCGCGAGGAGAATATGTTTCATGACATCACATTAGCTCTAGCTCTCTGCCGTTGCAGCTGTTGTAATTCTGCTAATCTGTGTATACTTCTTTTCACAGTGAGGAAGTCTGTATCTTGTCTGCTGCCGGCACAGCTGCTGTGCTGAACCCTCGATACCTACAGGATGCCGGCACCGAATGCTGTATGGAACAAAGGTTGTCTTGGGAGCCTGACTTCTTTTTAGGGTCAGACAAGGGAGAGGTTGATAATTTCCATCAGAGCCAGGATAGTTCTCCCCTATTAGGGTAGGTTACACCATATAGACCAGTGTGAGGACAAGCACTTAACTCGCTCTCACTAACCCCATCCAAGGTAACTAATCCGTGTGCCACCAAGCCCTTCCTGACTCCATGTAGGAAACGTTTAAATGGGTAAAACCCACGGTTGTGACAGGTTTAACTCTCTCTATAATGGTTCTATTCACGTATCTTGAAATAAAGTTATGTGCTTGGTAATCTCTTACATTGTGTCCCAGATAACACAGAATTGATTTTTATATTCTGCATACGTCGCTCATGGCCTAGTCTTGCACAGTAATTGTTTCTGGGAAATTTACTTCAATTCAAAATAATTCTCATGTTTTCCATTTCTAGAGTATCAGAACTAATTTGGTTCCACGGTTAGACATGGTTACTATACACAATGTGTGTGCTAGTAATGCAGGAGACGTGCTGACCTTACAGCAATGTTAATTTGCACCTATATTGTCCAATTCTTTTTATCAATTAAAGTCAGAAAGTCCTTATTCATGCTCCTTTTTTTTTTTTTTTTTTGCAATTGAAATCCCAAATTTGGCTATTTCTAGGCTTGCTATGTAAACGATTGACTGCATCATCTGCTATGATTAGCCCAAATCCTTTGTAGCCATTTGACATGTTATTGTCTTAATATTACACATTTTGACATGTCTACTGCTCTAATTAGATGACTTTTTTATTTTTATGTTTTTTACATATTCTAAGTCTCACACTCCAACCCATAGGGAGATTGCTGCATTCCCTCTCACCATTTTAGTTACTCCAAGCACAATGGCCACTTCAGTGATGTAATCGTTTTGGCATCACTAACCAGCCTGGAACAATACGTCAGGGTAGCTAATGTGATTCTGTGCATATTGAACGTCTGATGTGAGCACGCATAGCTTGCTTAGGACAGGTGTCCAACAGTGTCATTCTGTTTTTGTGCAGCTCCTATCAATTTAGGTACCAATCCTATTCCACCTGTGTGGTGAATGGAACCTCTTCCAAGATGTTAACGACTAAAGACCGGTTGGTTGAGCGTTACCTTCACTCCTGTGAACGCACTGGCTGCAATGTGCAGAAATCCAAAGCTCTATACTGTTTTTTTTATTTTTGTTTGATTGTTTTACAGTTTTTGCTTCACCTCCAGTGAGGAGAGTCCCTTTAATAGAGCCTCACATAGCCTGCCAATCTGGTAAAATCTTGATTTTTCACCATGCAATGAGCTTACCGGATTGCTGTGCTTAGTAAAACAAAATGATCAGGAATAGGAATCAGCTGTACTGGAACATGGACACCATGAGTGATGCAGAGTGATGCGATGGGATTTTATAGATATGTCACTCTAGAGCTAGAAATTGTCAGTTCTCATCAAATCTCATTAAGTAATACGTGTTTGTTTTTCTTCTGGAAAGGCAGAGAGAGAGGTAATCTGGAAATGTATAACATGTCACATTTGTGGGAGTGCCCTTTTAAATTCCAGCCCGTGCATCCAGTCTGTGGTCACCGTCTGATCTGTATTATTAAATGGAACTAATCCAATCATATAACCTGCCTTCTGCAGCATGTGCTCACATTGACTGGTGTATGTAATAACCTAGGTCTGTGAGCCTGCACTGGCATTGCTTGAGTCTAACGGTTCACTAGTTTTATTCTCACTGCCCTTCAGCCGGGCTAACACCATGCTGTGTATTTATTTACATTTCCTGATTTGACATTATTTACCAGCTAAAACATGCGGTCAATTGGTGCCAGGTCTGTGAGCGTGACTGTCTGGCATCCTTTGACATTTGTTGCTCTTTGGCACTATGACCCAAAAGGAGAACAAGCTAGATAAAAAAACAAAAACAAAACTGTGTATACCCAAAGGAACGGGTAAAAAGGCCCTTACTGCCATTCACTGGTAACGATGTAACTCCCGATAAATTCTATTAAAGCGGTATTCTAAGCACTGTTAACACGACATTGTGCTGTAGTTGTTATGGTGCCAGGAGTTCCATGGGGTTGTCCCATGGTAAACTGTCAGACTGTTTATGAATGGGGGGTGCCCACTGGGCTGCACTGATATGGTGAAGTGGAACCTCATGTTTTTGCCTTGGCATAGCAGCTTAATGAAATGAGAGCAGAGAACCTTAACCTATTGGACTGGGCCAATATTACATCTGTTTCTGTCTCTTACGCAGCCATCGCTGTGCTATGTTGTGTACTCACTAGATAACGTTGTGAAATCTCCATAGAGATTCCATATCACCACATATATTTGCCATTTATGCACCTCATGAGCTGGTAGGTTAGTTATTGTATCCACCCCACATTCAGCAAGTGATACTTACCTGATACTCATCTGTTTCTAACTTTGAGTCATATTATGTTTTAAAATACATATTTTATAGATGAATTGTTTGATTTCACGTTTATTTTGTAAAAAAAGTCACTGAATGCATGGTTTGCATGTGCCGGGGAGCAAATGCATCTATTAATGACTTTCAATCGAAAGTCAGTGAATCTGTAGTCTACATATGCTGAGGAGCGATGTACTAGTATGAAGGGGAAATCCCCACTTCTCTATAAATTAAAACACTCCATAAACCACAAAATAGCACGATTTATTTATTTATTTATTTATTTTTGTAATTTTCCATGTGATGTGATATTTTCTTTTAAAAGTACTTTTAAAAAATTTTGCAAATGACCCAACCCTTCAGTTTAGTCCTGGAAAATGCTTTGGAAGAAAAGGAGAAATATTCAGGTTATTGTGAGAATTGCCAAACTCTAAACCGAATTGACTTGGAGAATTAAATAATATGGCTATTTTTGTCTAAATTGGGAAATTCACTTTGAATTCCCGGCAAGTCTCTCTTGGTTAATAACCCTGATTGTTTATTTATATCCTTAATACTGACCGCCAGGGCGGAGCTTATAACAATGACTGACAGGGAGCGAAGATGGAGGCACCCAGTTACATGATAGAGGTGTGGATTTTCCATTTTTCAAACTTTTAAGATATATATTTATTAAATATAGGGATAAAACATAATACAATCAAGGGAAGTGACCGTTCTTCTGACATGTTTTTGGTTTGTGTTAGTGAATGCTTGTTTGTCGATTCAGAGTCTGTGAATGCATGGCTTCCAATACCTGGGAGAAAGATGCTTTAAATATTAATAGGATTTAATTGATTGAGAGTGAGTGTCGCATCTTGTATTACAGGGACACCTCAGGAAGCAACGCGACTTAAGTGCATTTTGCTACCTTGTCACAAAACCACTTACTTGTCAGACATACGGAGTATGGACTCGGCTCAGCCAGTGAGTGAGCAACGTCAACTGATTTTCTGACATGGCGCCGCCCCACAGCTAATGATTGTCCTCTTATTACCTGCTCCCTTTCCACATGGCACAGCATTGATGTAATATGCATGTATGAAGAGGACAGTGATTGGCTGTGAGGGCAGAGTAACGTCAGCAGCTCAGCTCACACTGATCTCTCATTGGGTGATGTACGCTGTATTCGCTCCAGGAAAATGTTTTGTAAAAAGAGAGGCGTGGCTTAGGGGGTGGAGTTATAAGCCTGCAATCAATTTTCTTTTAATGTAAAACTAAAGAGATTTATTTAAATGTGAAATGCACTTGACTTGGTGTATTCAGAGTGTTCCTTTAATGTCTTTTGATCTGGTATATTAAATGGAAACCGCGTCTGTTCCCTGTGCGTTGTGTGAGTGCATAATGTGTAACATGTAATGAGTATGCTTTATCTCCTGTGTAACAGGTCAGAAGACATTTCCTCGGCTCCTTGCACATTTTGTCATATCCCTTACGATGAGCTAAACATGCCCTTCCCAGCTCATCTCACGTTCTGCTACAGCTGCCACAAATACAAGGTTCCTGATGTGCTCTTTACCACTATAGACCTTCCAACCGACGCTCCTGTTATAGGAAAAGGCTGTCTTATACAAGCAAGGTATTTTATAGAAGTCATTAAAGTTTGTTTATTTTTATTAAAGGAACACTCCAAGAACTAAAACTACTACACATTCTTTCCTGGTGTCCTCTGAGTGTTGCTCACTACCTCCATTACTGATAAGGGGGAGATGGAACCTAAGCAGGAATTCTGTTAGCCGAGTGGCCAATCAGCTAATCCTTGCACTGCATGAGATCCAATAGAAGTACCTGGTTAGGAAAACAAGCATTTAATTCACTGTCTGCAAAGCTAAACAACCATCATGTCATTCTGGGGATAAGGCAGACATGTAACATGTAAAGAGTAATCTGGTTGTTAACCCTGAACAAACTTCGTCAGAACTTCAATGGTGTTTGGTTCTCTTCTGGCCCTTTTTATAAATTCACATATTAAAGGGACACCAAAACAACTTGATCAATAAAACAGGGGAGCGCTTAGTATATAGTGCAATGCAAGTTTGTGTAATTCAGGGCTTCCCAAACTTTTACGGGCCGAGACCCACTTTTGAAAATGAAGATTTTTCGAGACCCACTCACTTTTAATCCCTATTTTAAAAAAGAATAAACTTGGCACACCATGGCAATCTGGTTTAGAGGCATAAAATTGGAACACCATGGCAATCCGCTTTAGAGGCATATATTTGGCACTTCATGGCAATCCGTTTTAGATGGATAAAATTGTCACACCATGGCAATCCGTTATAGATGAAAAGTGTACAGAAGGATCAGCGCTTAAAAATTTAAATGAAGGCAACACATCTAAAGGATAGGGCTCTCTCACAGGCCCTATAGGTATAAGGAAAAAGAGAAAGGTGGCACCACAGAGATAATATATAAAAAAATACATATAAGCAAGTAGTAATATAGAAATAAACAATGACCTATAATACAGAGAGAGAGCACAATAAAAATAATATATATAAAAATAAAGATGTATAAATATAATCCGTCCAAAAAGAGTCCGGTAAAACCTTTTGGATGAGAAAACAATCAGTTCTTTCTGAGGTAGAGAGGTCTATGGAGTAGTGGGATCGAGGGGTTCGTGGCATCTGTATGAAAGAAAAAAGAAAATCTAATGGTGCAATTAATCACAAAATAGGTAGCAGCCAATAAAACATGTCTATATTGTCCTATTGTAAAAACTACCTCTAGTATAACCTACCTACCTCTGGACTATGTGAGTGTTCTATTGGCACCTTAAATATCGCCTTGTTACATTTTATTGTAGTACCAAAACAACTTTAGCTTAATGAAGCAGTGTTGGTGTATAGATCATTCCCCTGCAGCCTGACTGCTCAATTCTCTGCCATTTAGGTATTAAAGTACTTTGTTTCTGTTTATGCAGCCCTAGCCACACCTTCCCTAGCTGTGACTGACAGTCTGCATGAAAACAATTGAACTCTAATTATATACAGGAGGCTCCTGCAGGGTTTAGCAAGCTATTAACAGAGCAGGAGATTAGAAATTCTAAAGTGTAAACATTAGATCTCTTTTTACAGGAAGTTTTTAAGAAGTTTGTGCAAGTCACATGCAGGGAGGTGTGACTAGGACTGTATAAACAAAGTGATTTAACTCCTAAATGGCAGAGAATTGAGCAGTGAGACTGCAGAGGCAATATCTATATACCAAAACTGCTTCATTAAGCTAAAGTTGTTTTGTGACTATAGAGTTTAATCCAGATTCTTAGACATGTTGATGGATTCTACTGAATGAGCCCCAAAATATCCCAATGTAACAGTAATGCACAGTTGTTATTGATGAATAAAAAAATGTCTATTTTTGGAGTCAAAGTAAGTAGTTCTGTAAATTTCAGCAAGTTGCCAATAATAAATCCCTGTTTATCCTGTAACAAAGGTTGTGTCGTCTGAAAAAGAAGGCACAAGCCGAAGCCAACGCTACAGCAATTAGCAACCTCCTCCCTTTTATGGAGTACGAGCTGCACACCCAACTCATGAACAAGGTGAAGCTAAAAAGCATGAATGCGCTGTTTGGCCTCCGCATCCAGATCACAGTCGGTGAAACCATGCTGCTTGGATTGGCAGTAAGTACTAATCACACCGCGTGGACGGTAGCAATCCGGTGGAAATTGGACGGTAAAAAAAAAAAATGCATTAATAGAAAATACAGAAAAATGCTAATATAAAAATGAGTAAGACTGTCTGTGACACTCCTAAATCTCTCCCTCTGTGTCCGCAGAAGGCTACTCTAAAAGTGTTCATTCTACTAACTAGAGCATAGCTTTATTGAGCATCTGAGGTTATCCAGAGGATTCTGGGAAACCTCAAACTGAAAGTGGGCGGCAGTTTATCACTGATCGCACTACTGGTAATAGGCGCTTTGTATAGTCTCTAGAAATGAACTCCAATGCTTACATTATAGTTTTAGCTGCATATTAAACTGAAAAGTAGAGAGATAACGAGAGAGCATGTCTGCGTTACAGTCCCAGTGCTTCTTCAATGCAAGTAAAATGTGTAAAACACAGCTCTCTTCTTTATTCCTATTTCATTGTATTTTCAGCAGGTTGGTATCTAAAGTGATAATGCTAATTAACCGTGTTGATTTTAGTCTGCCACAGGTGTGTATCTGGCTGCCTTACCTTCCTCTGGAGGGATCCAGATAGCTGGGAAAACGCCAAGTGACGGGTCCTATGATCAGCATATTTCTCATGTGCAGAAAAAGATTAACGAAACGATTGCAAAAAATAAGGAGTTTTATGAAATCAATCCACCAGTAAGTTACACATTTTCCAAGCTGGCATGAGGTTTATATATAGTAAGATAATTCTCCCACTGTCGCACCAGGCTTGTGGCGTGCAGCCCTATTGTGATTTAATGTGTGTTCTGCTTAATTTATTACAGGAGTTATTGGAGGAAACCATAGGGTCCCCCATCCCAGAATCTCGTCTGCGTTCACGGTTAATTAGATCACAGTCTGAAAGCTCTGACGAGGTGACAGAATTGGATTTATCTCATGGTAAAAAGGATGCCTTTGTCTTGGAGGTAAGAAATAATGGATATAGTCATTTTCACACCTTCCAGTAGCATTTTTAGATGCAGAGAATGGTTAAAGGTAAACTATTTTAATGATCTGGCTTCATTTCTGTTCTGTTTAACAGATCGACGACACAGACGCTATGGAAGATGTGCATTCGCTGCTAACAGATGTTCCTCTTCCACCAGGTGTGGGGCCAGAATAATATGTGGTTTGTGAAACTATGCCACTCTAGCGATTGGGCTCTATGCTAACAAGCATTGGATGATGTCAAGGGCAGGCAACGCAGACGTCACCTGAGCGAGAATGACAGGGGTGGATAAAAAGCTAGATATGAGTAACACAGATGATGAATATGAGACAGCAATGCTGGAGACACTGTTGCATTTGCCCTGGCAGTGAAAAGGTTAGGGTGAAAGTCTTTCAAATTAAGCTGAATTCTGGTCAGTATAGGGATTCGTTTTACGTGACTTTCACTAGGTATACATCTACAGATGGCAATACATAACCAGGTTTAGATAGGAAAACCCATTCCTTTTCCCACAGTTAAAGCCTGGAAATTGGTAAATCTCACACTCTGGGTTTTATCTGGCTTTACACCACCTTCTCACCCTGTTACTCTGAACGATCCGCATCCTCGTAAGACCTGGAGATGCTGGCGGCTTGGGCTATTGTTTACATTATGTTAACCCTGTATTGTGCTTTTAACATGGTGTCTCTGTATTAGGGTTTTACAGCTGTAACACCGAAATCATGCCGGGAATTAATAACTGGACCTCGGAATTACAGGTAAAAATGGCTATTCTGTCCCCTAAAGCAACTTTGAAATGTAATGGAATTTCTGAAATGGAGCATTTTACTAGAGTCCTGTGAGTCTAAACTTTACAATCTCATTTGGAATCAGAAAGAAGATTGGCAAATTTTCCAGTTTTAACTAACTATTTTTTAAAAACCTATTCCCGCTGTACCACTAGTTCTCCCCACTCTCCGGTGTAGTCTTGTACCATGATGCTCTCTCTGCTGTGTCAGTCCCTCTACCTTCCTCTCTGGTGATAGTCCCATGCAGTAGTGTTATCTGCTGTGCCAGTCCTTCTCCCCTCTCCGGTGTAGTCCCATACCATGCTGCTCTCTGCTGTGCCAATCCCTCTACCCTCCTCTCTGGTGATAGTCCCATGCAGTAGTGTTATCTGCTGTGCCAGTCCTTCTCCCCTCTCCGGTGTAGTCCCATACCATGCTGCTCTCTGCTGTGCCAATCCCTCTACCCTCCTCTCTGGTGATAGTCCCATGCAGTAGTGTTATCTGCTGTGCCAGTCCTTCTCCCCTCTCCGGTGTAGTCCCATACCATGCTGCTCTCTGCTGTGCCAATCCCTCTACCCTCCTCTCTGGTATAGTTCCATGCTGTACCAGTTTAACCCCTCCCACCCCCCCAATGGTGCAGTTTCATGCTTTTCTGTTACCTGCTATACTAGTCATTTCCCCTATAAAGTGTAGTCCAATGCTGTACTGTTTGCTGTCAACTGGAGTTCATGACTTCGCCTTAAATGTCTTTTTTCTGATGATACTAAGATATGTAACAGGGTTGATGTTACAGGAGGGATAAGGCAAATGATTTAGGTAAACAAGAAAAATGGTCAGAGTTGTGGCAACTGACATTTAATTTGGATAAGTGAAAGATAATGCATCTTGGACGTAAAAACCCAAGGGCAGAGTATAGGATATTTGATACCCTACTTACCCCAACATCTGAGGATATTGATACTTTCGAGAGGGTTCAGAGAAGGGCTACTAAACTGGTTCATGGATTGCAGGATAAAACTTACCAGGAAAGGTTAAAGGATCTTAACATGTTTAGCTTGGAGGAAAGAAGAGATAGGGGGGATATGATAGAAACATTTAAATATATAAAGGGAATCAACACAGTAAAGGAGGAGACTATATTTAAAATAAGAAAAACTACCACAATAAAAGGACATAGTCTTAAATTAGAGGGACAAAGGTTTAAAAATATCAGGAAGTATTACTTTACTGAGAGGGTAGTGGATGCATGGAATAGCCTTCCAGCTGAAGTGGTAGAGGTTAACACAGTAATGGAGTTTAAGCATGCGTGGGATATGCATAAGGCTACCCTAACTATAAGATAAGGCTAGGGACTAATGAAAGTATTTAGAAAATTGGGCAGACTAGATGGGCCGAATGGTTCTTATCTGCCGTCACATTCTATGTTTCTATGTTAAACTTAATGGCAAATTCCTGTTGCTTTAGGACAGCGTACTAAATTCTTGCTCTCAATGTCTGTCTGTCCTGATTGGTTAAGTCAGGCACTGGGTGCTAGAATCTATACAATGCTGCAAGGAATCATGGGACATGTACGTTAATTTACAGGAAATATTGTATGTGTGTGTGTGTATATAACTACTAACTTCTTATAAAGAAGAAAAACCTTAATTTGCTACGTTGGCTAACCTTCTTCTCTGAAATGTGAAGGAGCCACTGAAATCCCTTTGTTTTGACACTGCCTGTTCAATTTGTTTTAAAGGATACGCGCTGGAAGTGATGCTCATTTTCCCCTAACCAGATCTCGCTTTGTGTTTCTGTCTAGATGTTCACCTCAGTTCGAGTTATCCGACTTTCTAACATGAATCTGACAAACCAGACTCTAAATAAAAGCTTTAATGATCTCTGTGAGAATCTGCTAAAGGTATACAGTATTCACCAGTTTTTCACCTACCAAATGGTCACCAAGTCATTAATGGGCCACTCCAGGCTCCCACACACGTTAGATGCACTGTGTAGGTTAGGTTACAGTTAGTTATACTGGGTGGGTTTATATTATTAAAGGGACACTCCAGGCTCCCACACACAGGTGCACTGTGTAGGTTAGGTTAAAGTTATTATACTGGGTGGATTTATATTATTAAAGGGACACTCCAGGCTCCCACACACGTTAAATGCACTGTGTAGGTTAGGTTACAGTTAGTTATACTGGGTGGGTTTATATTATTAAAGGGACACTCCAGGCTCCCACACACGTTAGATGTACTGTGTAGGTTAGGTTACAGTTATACTGGGTGGGTTTATATTATTAAAGGGACACTCCAAGCTCCCACACACGTTAGGTTACAGTTAGTTATACTGGGTGGGTTTATATTATTAAAGGGACACTCCAGGCTCACACATGTTAGGTGCATGGTGTAGGTTAGGTTACAGTTATACTGGGTGGGTTTATATTATTTAACAGACACTCCAAGCTCCCACGCACATTAGATGCACTGTGTAGGTTAGGTTACAGTTAGTTATACTGGGTGGGTTTATATTAATAAAGGGACACTCCAGGCTCCCACACACATTAGGTGCACTGTGTAGGTTAGATTACAGTTATACTGGGTGGATTTATATTATTAAAGAGACACTCCAGGCTCTAACACACGTTAGGTTACAGTTAGTTACACTGGGTGGGTTTATATTATAAAGGGACACTCCAAGCTCCCACACACGTTAGGTGCGCTGTGTAGGTTAGGTTACAGTTAGTTATACTAGGTGGGTTTATATTATTAAAGGGACACTCTAGGCTCCCACACATGTCAGGTGCACTGTGTAGGTTAGGTTAGAGTTATTATACTGGGTGGGTTTATATTATTAAAGGGACACTCCAGGCTCTAACACACGTTAGATGTACTGTGTAGGTTAGGTTACAGTTATACTGGGTGGGTTTATATTATTAAAGGGACACTCCAAGCTCCCACACACGTTAGGTTACAGTTAGTTATACTGGGTGGGTTTATATTATTAAAGGGACACTCCAGGCTCACACATGTTAGGTGCATGGTGTAGGTTAGGTTACAGTTATACTGGGTGGGTTTATATTATTTAACAGACACTCCAGGCTCCCACACACGTTAGATGCACTGTGTAGGTTAGGTTACAGTTAGTTATACTGGGTGGGTTTATATTATTAAAGGGACACTCCAGGCTCCCACACACGTTAGGTGCACTGTGTAGGTTAGGTTACAGTTAGTTATACTGGGTGGGTTTATATTATTAAAGGGACACTCCAGGCTCCCACACATGTTAGATGCACTGTGTAGGTTAGGTTACAGTTAGTTATATTGGGTGGGTTTATATTATTAAAGGGACACTCCAGGCTCCCACACACGTTAGATGCACTGTAAAGGTTAGGTTACAGTTAGTTATACTGGGTGGGTTTATATTATTAAAGAGACACTCCAGGCTCCCACAAACGTTAGATGCACTGTGAAGGTTAGGTTACAGTTAGTTATACTGGGTGGGTTTATATTATTAAAGGGACACTCCAGGCTCCCACACACGCTATATGCACTGTGTAGGTTAGGTTACAGTTAGTTATACTGGGTGGGTTTATATTATTAAAGGGACACTCCAGGCTCCCACACACGTTACATGCACTGTGTAGGTTAGGCTACAGTTAGTTATACTGGGTGGGTTTATATTATTAAAGGGACACTCCAGGCTTCCACACACGTTAGGTGCACTGTGTAGGTTAGGTTACAGTTAGTTATACTGGTAACCTCTTTTCTGTTCTGTCTCTTGTATTGCAGTGTTCATTCTTAAATAATAAAGCTGTACTGGGTGTCATCGTGCTGCACAGCGAATGTTTCTAGGAGGTGTAGTTAATCTGTTGTCTAATCAGAAAGCTTGACACTTGTTCTACAACTCCCAGAAACCTTGTTGCACGCAAAGTACTGCTATGCACAGTGCCATGTGACATTTCTGGAAAGTAATGATTGGGAAAGTCACTTCTGGTCTGTGCAAAATAAATTGCAATTTATTGTAGAACATTTGTAGGTATTACTCTTTATCTGTATAATACACTGGTATTCCATCCTGGAATGTCTCTTTAAAGCCATTATACAGGCAAATGGATGGGGAACTTACCTAGCTGTTCATTGCCACTGACTGTAGAATTAATTAAGTTGTGTAATTACAGTCACGATTATGAAATAAAATGTAGCAAATCTCTGTAATCTACAGAGTCTTTACTTCAAGCTGCGATTCATGGTCCCCTGCTGTCTGTGCCACGTCAATTTCACGGTCGCCGTCCCAGAGGATGAATCCATACAGGTCAGTGTGCTGGAAGAAATGGCATATGTTTGGGGTTTTTATGGAGTATGTTTTACATTGAAAGATAATCAATGTAAGGTAGCCCGTAGCTTATAGACTGATTTGTTATATTTGAGCAAATTCTTTCATTCCAGGTTGCGGTTACCGCTGTAGCAATCACATTTGACAAACAAAATACATTGGAGACCAGTAAAAACAGAGCTGAAAAGGCACAGACAAGAGGTAACCTGCATCACGCATATAAACTGTAAACTAAACTATATTTAAAAAAAAAAAATGCAAAATGCTAAAAGCTGAATGTCCTTTAAAAGACCACATTTTATTTGAACATTATTGAACTATTATTATTGTCATAAAACACCCCTTTTAACTGGTTTAAAAAAGTCCTCACACTGCTGGCTCCCTCTGCATCATGCTGCTTCATTTTTGCTACAATACTCATAGCTTGAGGACCTTCCAATCATAATTTTCAAGGTTCTACCGCATGCTTTCAGGGTCCTACATTGTCAGCTACTTTCAGAACCCAACCTTAATGAACGTCTTCAGAACACCACTACTGTCCACCGTCATTGTCTGCTACTTTCAGAACCCAACCTTAATGAACGTCTTCAGACCCACCACTACTGTCCACCGTCATTGTTAGCTACTTTCAGAACTCATCCTTAATGAACATCTTTAGATCCACCACTACTGTTCACCGTCATTGTCTGCTACTTTTAGAACCAAACCTTAATGAACATCTTCAGACCCACCACTACTGCCCACAGTTACTTTCAGAACCAAACCTTAATGAAGATCTTCAGACCCACCACTGTTGTCAACCCTCATTGTTAGCTACTTTCAGAACCCAACCTTAATGAACTTCTTCAGACCCATCTTTAATGTCCACCTTCATTGTACGCTGCTTTCAGCAACTGCGAGTACCCGGCCACGCAGTACCTTCAACTTTTAGTTCCTGGCAGTACCCTCTACCATTCGTGCACTGTTCCCGTTTTACAAGTAGGAGTTTTGTTCGTACAATAATATTCTGTTGTGATGAGAAATTCGTAAGATCACCTGTTGTCATGAACTTTGTTGTTTACATGTTTCTGTGGTTTGGTTCTAATTTTGTCAAAGGCTGCATTTAGGTTTGGTGTCAGATGAAGCTTCAAGCTCTGCATTTGTTTTCATACTGTAGAATTGCACTATTACAAATTACTTTAAATGCTGACTTCTGTTGTATTTTATTTTTAAGCCTCTACAGACAATGAAGATCAGCTTCAATTCTCCATGGAATTAAACTCTGATTCCCCAATTTCCTATCCATTCTCACCAGTTAAAGGTAGGTGCTGTTTCCGGGATACACTGTGCATGCTGCACCCGATCCTTGCAACCCTAAGAAAGTTATTAATGTTTTAGGATTTACAAATACGTGTTTCTTGTTCATTAATTTTCCTGTGTATAAATAAATGGTACTTCTCTATGCATTCAACTGCAGAATGAATGCAAAATACATACTTGGCCTAATCTCGGTAGAGATATAATGTTTGGCACTTTACTGGCTTTTTAAATTACACCCTTGGCATTTTTTCAGTGATGGTGGATGTTAAATTGCCCCTTCTGTAACTTGTGTGCGAAACTAGTTTCTGACATTACCTCAACATTGCAAGGTGTGGTATAGGCTGTCTAATATAGGCCGTAATTTATTGTATTTGGGTAAACTTTTAATATCTTTAATGTTCAATGTATATATTATATCAAAATAAACCCTAAACCCTTTTTTTATATTTTGAAATTAATTATTTTTTAAGTTTGTCCAAAAATATTTAATAGTTAAAAAAGCTTATCCGCAAATATTAAGTTGATGCCATCATTGCTAAGATTATGGCCCATTTCTGCTCTAACTAACATCTCAAATCCCACGGCCGTTTATGAAAGCTTTGAAATAAGACAAATATACAGATCAGGAACACAGTGTAAAGAATGCTTGGAATTTCTCAGACTGAGAGAGACTGATGCAGAAATTACATTGTACAGCGCTATGGAATCTGATGGCGCTATATACGGTAAATAATAATGTGTTTATTCTTATTGCAATAAATACCATCTGTAACATTTCACTTTAGATGTCCAGGAGCGAACAGGCTCCCTGGCTGGAACTACTGCCACTCAGCGAGGTAAGTCTGGAAACTCCAACACTCTTGCAAAATATACATGATTTTTATTTTTTGTTTGTATGGTTTTTTTGGGATTTTTTTTTTTCTTCTCAAGTGCAGATCGTTTGCATCATCCGAAGACATTGCGATGAGCTAAAGACGTCATCCATGTTTTTTGTTTTTTTTCTTTGTTTTGTTTTTGTTTTTCTGTCTGTGTGTTTCCAGCTACTCCCGCTGATTACAGTTCCTTTGCAGACAGATGCAACAGCTGGATAGAGCAGATTAAAATGCGAGCGCACACCATAAGACGCGGATCAGTTAAGACAAGTAGGCCGCTGTTGTTTCTCCTCTCTGATGATTATCCGAGATCCACGGTGATGGCGGTGGACCTCGCTATTCATTAATGGCTACAAAGATCAAAGCACAGCCTTAGCAGAGTGTGAAAGCTGCTGACCCCCCATTCTCCCCACCCTTCATTGAATGTACACAATATTCCCTACGCAATGTCTGGCTCCCAGACATCTAGAACCCTGCGTGATCCCTAATGTACAGCTCCGCACTTTATCTTCTAGGAAGGAATAATCCGTTCTTATTAATAGCAGATTGTTAAAGTATGTCTCATCCAACAACTCCTGCTTTTATTTTAAATGGGTCCAATCATGACTTTTTTTTATTATTTTGTTTCCATTTTTCTTAATTACCTTCTATAGTTTAACGTTATCTTTGCAGCACATTCTGAGTGTTACCCTCAACTCCTAGCTTCCTGATATTTCCAGCTGCCATGATAGAAGTCTGTCTCACTCTTCCGGTAAATATGGATAGCAGTTATATCCCATAGTATCTGCACATCCATGTACCTTGGCCTGCACTCTGCACCAGTTAAATCATTCTCTGATTTAAACTTTGTGTGTCAGAACATCCCTATAACATGGGATTAATAACAGAAAAACACATATGTAACTGATTATATCGTGGTTTGTGGGGACTTGACCATAGAAGTGTGGATTTCTGGCCTAAACTGTCAAATTGGGGTGGTGGGTGTCTTGGAAGGAAGGACTACACGGCGTGGCTTGCTCTCTTACTGTCTTACTGGCTTCTATAAAATATTATTTTCCCCGCAGTCTCTTTCTGGATATTAACGGGCTGGGGATCTTCCAGCAATCTCTGTTCCCCATTTGTGAAGTTTAAACATTGTGCAGCACATAGTTCGCATGTTTGATCAGAATTTCTGTGTGCAGTACATGACTCCCCAGCTACTATTACTACAAATCAAAACCCGTCTGTGAGAGTATACTTGACTACCCTGTCAATCAGAACCCAGCTGTGGGAGTATACATGATTTTTCTACCAATCCGAATCCGGCTGTAGGAGTGAATTTGGCTCCTCTGCTAATCAGAATGCAATATTGGGCTTAACATAGATCCCATGGCTGCCAGAATCCATCTGTGGGACTGTACAGTGCTTGAGTACCAAACAGAGCACAGGAGAGGTTTGTATGTGGCTCCCCTGCTAGTCAGAATATAGCTGTGGGGATGTACATGGCTAGTTTGCCATCAGAATACGACTGCACAATTTAGGTGGCTGTTTGCTGGTGACTTTGGTAATTGGACAGTGAAGCTCTGTGAGGGAACGTGGATGCAGTGATTTGAAATATTAGCAGTGCTGCTTGGGTGGGAAATATTTTAAAAATCCTTCTATTCATACTAGAATTACCATTTTGTATATTTCTTACACTTGCGTGATACAGGTTATTGAGTGTTGCCTTAACGATGCCAGACAATTCCTAAAATAACCTTATGTGAGTCCCGATTGTATCCTTAAAATGGTAGATTTTAGTATTTTTGAAAGATTATTTTCCTGGCCTATCGGATGCCTGGGAGTTTGTGTGCAAATATTAATTCCAACTTTCACACTCTACCAAAAAAAACAATCTATTTGTCCAGCTCATGTGGTTTTGTTTATTTTTGTAAATTCTTTGATATTCTTTTTCAGTTCTTCCTTTTAATTATTTTTATACATTTGTTTCTGGTCATACGTGATTCTTTTTGCAGGAATGCCACTTCTTCTCCAAGGTTTCTGCATGCATACCCTCGCATGATCTCAGTCACTGGCTCTTTAATGACCGTCCTCTGCTTGAGCTTCATCACTGCCGTATCTGAATGTCTCGTCCCGGGGTTAATCCAGGGCTATCGCTGTATCTCTGTGCATGAACATGCCTCTCTCCTTTCTAACTTGTGTCTTGGTCCTTTTCTATTCTAGCTACTTCTCTTGAAAAGGCAAGTCCAGTGGCTGAAGGACACCTGAGAATTCGATCCATCACATCCTCCACCAGTCCCGTAGTCACGGTGGTGAAAATGACACCTCTTTCTTTCATTCCTGGGGCCAAAATAACCAAATTCCTTGGCATTATCAACATGTTTTTTATAAGAGAAACAACATCTCTGCGTGAGGTGAGCTGGTGGTCAGAAAAGCACATTTACATTCATACACTAAAGCAAACCAGTATTTAAAGGAACATTCTCATTAATATAACTATAGATATCTCTCTCCCTTATGTGTATGTAATTTTGTTTAGATGGGTTTCCTTAATCTGTTTATTATACTGGCCTCCTCTAGCTGCTCTGATCACTTGGACTGTAATGCCCACTGTGTACCCAGCCTTTCCCATTCAGTACTAATTGGTTGTGCATTGTGCTTCCTCCAGGAAGGTGGAGTCAGTGGTTTCTTGCACGCATTCATCTGTGAAGTGTTTGCCATGGTCCGTGCCCACGTGGCAGCTCTTGGGGGCAACGCTGTGGTCTCGTACATAATGAAGCAATGTGTATTCATGGAGAACACCAACAAAAACCAGGTGATGTTTTACTTTTTCCCAAGCAAACGTGTTCTCAGGGGCAGTTGGTGGGTAGAGATGGAGAATTGGCTTTAACATACCGGACTGCTCTCAGGTAACCATTTTATGACACATGTATTGCGTAGAGATAAATAGTGAAACACATTGCAGAGGATTATAGAGTGCTGACAGATTTTGACTTGTACATTGAATATCTCGCTGTCCTTTGTAGGCGCAGTGCCTGATTAACGTCAGCGGAGACGCAGTGATCTTTATTCGTGAATCTGAACTGGAAACCGTCTCAGTCCCTTCAGGGACGTCGACCACTGCTTTGGAAGGTTTAGGGGATGGTGCAACCTAAATCCACGAACAAAGTACAGCCTTCGGAAGAGACAGATTGTAGAAAATGGACATTTCAATGCTATTTATTGAATAATGAACACAGCAATATCCTGTTTTGTAATCACAGCATTTTTAAACAGGACTTTATACACCGTAAACTGTCATAAAACCACACCTGTTTTCAGGCAGCAGACACGATACCATCACATTTATCTGCATGGAGTTTCATGCTCAGTCACCATGTTGAGTGATAGTAATGTGCATCTCTCATGTAATATTTATTATTGAGGTTTAAGCAAGGCCAGAGTGTATTTTATGTAAAATATCCCTCTAAGAGACGCTGGGTAAGAGAATGAGAGGGGCAGAATGTCAACGTTTTTCAATCTATACGCCTGGTACTAATGGACCATTGACTATATAAATACTAGTCCAATGGCAGAGGGTACAATAGTAAGGAGAAGGAGGGTAACGCTCTGTCTTTATAAAGAACTGCTAAATTACCGTAAGAATGTGCATAAGTTGGTGTCATCTTCACGTAGAGTAACTGTAAAACATTCTGCTAGCACTTTCAGCAGTAATGAGTGGAAACTGCAGAGAAACTAACAAGAACCCGTGGAACATGTTCATTGAAATGCCTCATTATAACGCTAATGGGATGCAGTGGTTACAGCTGCAGGTTAAATCATCTTCTAATTTTATTTCTATTTAGGGCTATCTCGGAGAGTGTCCCACTTGTTCTACTGAACCCAAGCATTAACGTATTTTGAGTTTTATGGGATTCTGTCCCTCCTGGGGTGGTTTGACAGATTTCACGTAATCCCATGGTTGCACACCCAACCCTCATTCAGTACAATCTAATCTGATCAATGAAAAATGGACCTATATACAGGATGCTTGAAATGTCTAGGCCCTGTACAATAGCCAGAATCTGACAATGTCTGCAAGGTAAAGAATCCCCATAATCATCACTAAGATACAAGCTGAGCCCTGCACAAATTAATAAACGGGTTACCAAAAAATTCCCTTAAACTCATCCACACACAGATTACCAAATCCGTTGCCATGCTCTTCTTGGCAAAACCAGGCAATCATTACCAAAACCTTTGTTTAATGGGGAGATATTGAAAATTCCTGCAGATTGGACATAACATCAAAATGTTTATCATAAGGTCAGCGCTTTTGTGTTTGTACTGCTGTTGTAGGAAAGCAAGTGATGAGAGTTGCAGTCCGTCTGTATGCTGTGGAAGTTTAAAATCGGTTCCAGACGTTATGCTACAGGCACTTTGTAAAGAGCTTTAAATGTTATATTTTTGATACGTCTCTGCAACACGGGTCATTAAGCACGTTTGATGAAAAAGAAATGGCAAAACATTTTATGGAAAGTCTCCAATAAAGTTCTAAAACAATCCATGCGTAACTGCATGTGCTCTGCAGAAATGCTGTAAATCTGAATCGTGCGAATGTTGGGCATGCTACAGATTGCTAGCAATAAATAAATAATTTTAAATGGCCTTGGCTGAGGAAGTGTTTATTTGCATATTATTTCTGTGTATATTACAGTGATACGTCTACAGACCATCCCTCTTTTTATGTTTTTAACACCAGTTACTCTGTACCCAGTGTTGTTATTTTGTGCTGTAAGTAGTATGGTATATAAATAATAGAAATGAAACCGTGGTAAGTAGTTGTTAAGACACCCCTGGTGTCTTTAAAAGAAACCGCCGTTTAGTTAACCTTCCCCTTTCGCAATACCAATAACTCCGTTCGCATAGACTGTAGTATACGAAACACCATCAGGGGAAGCGGTAATCTCCCGATTGAAAGGCTCCAAACTCCCGAACGGAAAGCCACGAACTGCTGCTAGCTGCCGAACAACGATATCCACCAAGCGGCTTTCGGTTCCAATAATCAGTCTCTAGGCGCAAATAAGAAATCCCCCCAATAACAAGACAGAAACTTCGCATTGAGGGTCAAACAGGATCTGGCTTTACTGTGGGCTACCTGCCCGTATTTATGCAGGTCTCCCATTTGGTGGACACTCCCCTGGGGGACCAAATGGGAGACTGTAATGACAGATAGACATGGGGACATTTCAGACATACAGATGTAACCTTTTCCCACAATGCAATATGGTTTCCTCCCCTCTGCCCTGGAGATAATTGAGAAGTAATTCAATTATCTCCAGGACAAAGACAAATCGCCATCTTAAATAAAATACCAGAAAATACATAACTTTATAATAACCGAACATTTCACATTCGCATCACATAGCCCCAGATAGCCTGGATCTTAGTGCATATTATTGGCGAATAGCGCTCAGATCCCACACATATAGTTCAATTGCCATGGAGTCAAAGTCCTTACAGTCTTTCGGTATGCGATTGACTCCATGGGAAGGTTATCTGGGTTAAGTCCTTTCGTGTGTTGTAAAACTCCCGAACGGCCGGTGTTCGGACGCTTTCGTCGAGGCAGCCAGGCGAGCCGTTGTTTCAGCGGTGTTCGGCAGAAAAAGTGTCCGTTTTTAGTTCCATGAAATCAGGGCCGAACACCGCTGGGCTTTCGTGTGTTTTAAAATGGCCGCTACCTCGTGGTCGACATACGAACGACTGCCACCCTGAATTCGGTTTAATTGAGAAGTGTCTGCGGTCAACCACAACGTTCTAATTGGGATCAAGAGGTTAACCAGCAGCACACTTCTATCCTGGGTGGCCATCCGTTCGGTAGATTTGTTCGGTGAAAACAGTCATTCGTATGGCTGAGCTATAGAAACAGCCATTTACACGAAAGGGGGCAGAAATAGACGAATCCACCACAATAGACAGATAGATGGTTCTGTCACACGGCTCCCTCCTTGTGGGACACTCCGGCAGACCCGGCTTGACCCTTTGGCGGGTCAACTTGAGGATGACCAGACTAGGAGGTGGTGGAGACGTCAGTTTGCCGGTATAACCCATCTGCGTTCCTGTTCTGCTTACCGGGTCGGTAGCTGATAGTCAAATTGTAGGGCTGTAGTGCCAAGCTCCACCACAGCAGTCTACCATTGTCCCCTGAGACACGGTTAAGCCAGACGAGTGGGTTATGATCAGTCACAAGGGAAAACTCTTGCCCATATAAGTAGGGACTTAACTTTTTCAATGCCCAGACCAAGGCCAAACACTCCTTCTCCACTGCTGCATAACTCACTTCTCTGGGTAACAACTTTCGGCTGAGATATGCGACAGGGTGCTCTCCTCCATCTTCCCCGACTTGGCTCAGCACAGCCCCCAGTCCATACATGGAAGCATCTGTGTGAACGAGAAAGCGTTTGTTAGGGACTGGGGCAGCCAAGACAGGGGCATTCACAAGAGCCTGTTTCAGTGCCTGGAATGCAGCTTCACAAGCCGGAGACCACAGGACCTGCTTAGGCAAGTTCTTCTTCGTCAGGTCTGTCAGGGGCTTAGCAATAGTGCTGTAGTCAGGGACAAAACGTTGGTAGTACCCTGCCGTCCCCAAGAAGGCCAATACCTGGGTCCTGGTGGTAGGTTTGGGCCAGTTAGCCACTGCCTCTACCTTGGCTGGCTCTGGTCTCTGGCTCCCACATCCTTCTCTGTGACCCAGGTACTGTACTTCAGCCATACCTAGATGGCACTTCTCTGGCTTCAATGTCAGGCCAGCGGCCCGAATCTTATCCAGTACCACCCCTACATGAACCAGGTGTTCCTCCCAGGACCCACTGTAGATCGTAATGTCGTCCAAGTATGCACAGGCAAATTCTTGGAAGCCATCCAGGAGTCTATCCACCATCTGTTGGAAGGTAGCCGGGGCATTCTTCATCCCAAAAGGCATGACCTTAAATTGGTACAGGCCAAATGGGGTGACAAATGCCGACTTGGAGTTAGCATCCTCGGCCAGGGGGATCTGCCAGTAGCCCTTACACAGGTCTATGGTGGTCAGATAGCGCCCCCTGGCAATACGATCCAGTAATTAGTCTACCCGGGGCATCGGGTAGGCGTCAGTGGTGGTCCGCTCGTTGAGTCGCCTGTAGTCCACACAGAACCGGGTGGTCCCGTCCTTCTTGGGTACCAGGACTACAGGCGAGGACCAAGGGCTGTCGGAGGGCTCGATGACCCCAAGGGGGTCATCTCCTGTATCTCCTTCCGCATTCCTTCTCGGACTGCTTCAGGGATACGATAGGGCGGCTGTCGTAAGGGGGTCTGTCCAGGGGTCTCGACCTTATGTACAGCTAGGGTAGTATAACCTGGCTCCTGGGAGAAAGTCGCCTGCTTTTCCCACAACAGCTGCTTTGCTTGTACCCTTTCTGTGGGGTTCAACCTGTCCCCTAGCTGTACAAGGGTAGCGAGGTCAGTCTGGTGGTCCCTCTCTAACAAATCGGGAAGGGGTAAATTCTCAGGATCATCTGCAGCCGGGGCACATACTGCCGCAATATTCTCAGCTCTCTCCTGGTACTCTTTCAGCATGTTCACATGAAAGGATCTCTGAACCCTTTCATCTGTACAGCTGGCTATCAAGTAAGTAGTATCGCAGATCTGCGCTACTACTCTGTACGGGCCCTGCAAAGATGCTTGCATCTTGTTTGCCTTCACAGGTTTGAGCACCAATACTTTTTGCCCAACCTGGAAGACCCGCTGTCGGGCACCCTGATCGTACCATCTCTTCTGTCTCCCCTGGGCCGGCTGGAGATTCTCCCTTACCATCAGGGACAGTTTCTCCATGCGGTCCCGGAGTTCCAGGACATATGGCACTATGGGGGACCCCTCGTGTTCCGTCTCCCCCTCCCAGTGGCCCCGGATGAGATCTAGAGGTCCGCGGACCCTTCTCCCATACAGATTCCTGGGGCACCTCTCTGTAAGAAAACAACAGATGAGGCAGGAACCTCTCCCAGTCTCTGCAAGTATCTGTAAAGGTCCTCAGCATCTATTTGAGGGTACCGTTAAAGCGCTCGCAGAGACCGTTAGTCTGTGGATGGTAGGGTGAGCTAAGCAGCGGTTTAATGCCACACACCTTCCACAGCTGCTGAGTGAGCACAGCGGTGAATTGGGTTCCCTGGTCAGAGAGGATCTCCTTAGGGAACCCGACCCTAGTAAAAATTCTAACCAGGGCATCAGCAACCGTCTCTGCCTCTATATTAGACAGCGCTACTGCCTCTGGATAGCGAGTGGCATAGTCCACCACAGTAAGAACGTATTTCTTACCGGATGGACTAGCCCTGGCCAGTGGACCCACAATGTCAACAGCTATGCGGGAAAAGGGCTCCCCTATAATAGGCATCGATAATAACCTAGCCTTAGGGTGGTCTCCCCGCTTTCCTACCCGTTGACAGGTGTCGCACGTACTGCAATACATCCGCACAGCCTGGTTAAAGTTGGGCCAAAAGAAATTCTGTGAGATCCTATAGGCTGTGCGGCGGGACCCTAGATGTCCAGCTAACGGAACATTGTGCCCTATCCGCAGAATCTCCTGCCGGTACTTTGCAGGTACCACTAGCTGTCGATTCGGCGGAGGGGCAACACTTCTGGGAAGGCTTAGGGATCCTATATAACCTGTCCCCCACCCACTCATACCGCTCCCCATCTATTCCTTCCTCTCCAGCCTCTGCTCTATCTCTGTATTTCTGGAGAGTCTGGTCCGCCCGGGTTTCCCTCCCAATCTCCTCTGGGGAATCCCAGCTTAAGGGGGCGTGATCTAAGGTATCAGTCGGGGAAGAGGGTCTTACCTGGGTCTCATCAGCAGTCGAGCCGGTTCCAGTAGCACGGGTCTGAGCACAAGTAGTCACTGGGTTAACGTCAGCAGGACCCATCGGGGCATAGGCAGAAACCAAAGGGGCCAAATCGTTCCCAAGTAGAACATCAGCGGGCAAGTCTTTCATAACCCCCACATCCACATGTCTAGCGCCCACTCCCCAATCCAAATGTACCCGGGCAACAGATAAGCGGAACACGGCGCCTCCTGCTACCCTCACTGCCACGGTGTCTCCAGTGTGCTGGTGTTCCAAGACTAGGTTCTTTTGAAGCAGTGTCATGGTGGCTCCTGTGTCTCTCAGCCCATTCACTACTCTGCCATTCAGCTTCACAGTCTGCCGGTGTTGCTGGCGATTGTCCTGATGAGCTGCTTGCACTGGGTCGGCCTCGTGTAGAATGCCCCAGAACTCCTCCTGCTCGATACAGTGAGCAGCAGGCTGGGGTGGCTGCTGATTCCCACTGGCTGGTCTCCTCCACGACTGGGCTTGATTGGCGCTGTTCAGTGGGCACTCCGGTCGCTTGTGCCCCAACTGTTTGCACCCAAAGCACCAAATTGGCTGCGAAGAATCCCTGGCATTGAACCGGGAGGGTTGCACGTAATTGTTTGCTGGCAGTGCTGCTGGGGTGCGGTGCACTGGGGGTTGGTATGCTGATGGTGCTGGAGTTACTGTTGGTCGATACTCCATTCTGGCAGGAACTTTGGTAGCTGTACTGTCCAACTTGCGAGCGTCTGTATATTCGTCTGCCAGACGGGCAGCCTCGGGTAGCGTAGAGGGTTTTCTATCC